ATTGCACGTTGAAATTATGCATTCTATCGAGCATCATCGAGCATATATTGAAGAAAACTTGGAGTTGAAGAACTATTGAATGAGAATTGAATTTGATCTTGAATTTGTAAAAACAAATTCAAGAGCATTCCAAATCTCGTATGCACTTCATAAATCTGAGGCATCATGATGCGTAAAAAATGAATTGTTTTGAAATCAAATTATACAGTACAATATTCGGTCTCGAGAATTTTGTGCAAATCAACAGTTGAGATTAATGACTTACAAACATGCAGTTCCTCCGCAGAAGTTTTTTTCCTCTTTACACTTGCTTAGATTTGTACAATCATATACGAGTATAGTAGCTAGTTTTTTTTACAACTTTTCTGACAACATATTGAACGCAAGCAAGTTGGCCTTTTTCTCAGGTATACAGTACGTTATTTGTGACTCTTGATGATACAGTAAGGTGAATCAGTACGAACGAATCTCGAACTATTGCATGGTAGCAAGACGTGGTCGTTTTTCTTGGGTGATTATGTACACAAGCCATGCGTCACTCCTACTTTTCAGGGTTTATACCCTGAATCGCATGGGATAGTAGACAATCGATTCTTCGATCCCGTCTTGAATGCTTCGTTTGAGCTCGGCGAAGAATCTTCGACGAACCCGCAATTCTGGAGCGGCGAACCGATCTGGAACACAGCAAAACGCCAGGTGATTTCTGGGCGCAAAAGGCGAAAGTTTCTGTGAAATTTGACTCAGTCCGGTCGTTCCGCTTCAGGGAAAGAAAACGGCGACCATGTTTTGGCCGGGCTCAGACGTGCCGATCGGCGGCCAATTTCCAGACACGTACCGAGAATATAACAGTTCGGTATCGCTGGAAGAACGCGTCCAGACCGTGCTCAAGTGGATGTCGAGCAAAGAAACACGTCCGCACTTCGCAACGCTCTACTTGAACGAACCGGATCGAATGGGCCACCGAAACGGGCCAGAATCAACGCAGGTGAATGGTTGCGCAAGTCGCATAATTTTCCACTTTCAACGACACAATATGCCAGTGAAAATTGCAGGGAAACGAAGTCAATGATGAAAGCGAGTAAAGTTCGGATCATGGAATACTTCTTGCGTTTTTTAAAATTTTGTTGTTGCTTATTTTCACCAAACAAAGCTTGACTTTTGGACTTGTATTCGAAAAGTTATTTCTGAATTTCCCAAGCCGAACGAGACTTTCTAAAATTCAACTCATACATCTGATTAACAATAATTAATCATATTACGCATAAAAACATCACGAGAAGTGTAGCTTTGCTTTGTCTTGTTGGACAACTTCTTAACAAAGCATTCAACATTATGATCGCGGTTTAAAATTTTGGCGGTTCATTTTATTTTAAAAATCTGAAATCTGCGTGGTTCTCAGCTATATTGTTAATTCATCAGGCCATATTCAGATGATTGCCTTTGTCGGAGGTTATTTGAAAATAATACGCACGATAGAACATCGATTTCGGGTATCACTGTGAATGTCTTCTTCCAGAATGTTTAAAAATTATACTGATCGACGGTAGAAATGTTGCATGTTGTTTTTCTGTCAAACTTTTGAAAACCATGTACTGAATTTAAAAGAACGAAGCATTTCTTGGAACCCCCAATAATTATAATAAGCATAAGAATATTAAATAAATCCATCAGGGGAATATGAGTTTAATTGTTCAATCCTCAGGATTACCTTCAGGTAGAATTTGGTGGCTTGTGATAATCATATTTCCGAGCATTTGCAGTTCGGATAATTAAGGCCCTGCTTGCAGTGCCCTAATTTCGATGTGAAATCGGAAACACTTGCGAAAGATGATGTCGAAAAGTACCAATTAGTATTTTTTTCTCACAGGTTGTAACAGCTTTTGAAACAGTCGACATGGTTCTGGATGCTCTGATGCAGGGCCTCTTTGAAATGGGGATTTTGTCATGCGTGGATGTTTTGCTGGTTTCCGATCATGGAATGGTTCATTCTGGCTGTGATAAAATGATCCCTATTTCGACACTGGTTCCGGATGATTTTTATGCATTAACGAGTCGAGAGTTCTACGGAGAAACTGGACGCTTTGAGCTCAGCGATGAATTTAAAGGTAAAACGTGAAGACTCCGTTATAATTTTTCGAAATCGAACGGAGCAGGTAAGCACATGAAAACTTTTTGCCGTGGATTTGATTACGAGAAATTTTCAATTTCATCCGATCGGGTTCTTAATAAAAAAATCCGTTTTAGGTACATGCAGTTAAGTAACCGTTCTTTTTTCTCTCTGATCGAATGAAGACCGCGAAGATGCGGTGATCGGAAGCATGGGATGCGTAAGCAATAATGTTCGAGCGTATTCAAAGCAAACTTTGCCGAGAAGGTTGCATTATGGAGGAAGTAATCCACGAATCGAGAACATTCTTCTTGATCTGGATCCTGGACACACTTTGGTGGATGATGAAACTGAATGGTGCATGAAAGGACGTCATGGTTGGGATCCGATGTACCGCAGTATGAGTGTGAGTGATTTTACGGATATACTGTACGAGGGGTGTCTGGTTTTCGCAAGGAGTGCTGCTCATATCTTGAGAAATTAGTACTGTACGCTTCAATATTCATAGAAGATTAGTTTTTTTAATGCTTATTATTTTTGTTCATCGTCCACATGGAACGAATCCATTCTACTTTTCTGGAAAGACGAAGCCTTGGTATGGATCGCTTGCATGCTTTTGGAGTGATGATATTATATCCTTTGCCATACTTTTCTAAGAAGTCTGACTACTCTTGTACAAAAATGTTGCGCATAATTTTTTTTCCATAACGTAACACAGCTCAGACTTTTCAAACCTTTTTGGAATACTGTATTTGAATCGAAGAACATTGTGCTGTATGATTATGGGTTTTACGCAACGCTAATTTTAAATTCAAATTTCAAAAAAATTAGTCATTTGCTTTGGCGACGTCAATTTCCCTTACTTCATGCCTACCTGTCTACTTTTCTTCCTTGTTGCGTTTATACGCATTTGTGTTGAATTCCTATGTCCAATTTAGCATTTTTTTCTTGATGCAAAATTTGTTCGAAAGTTCCATCGAAGCTTTACATATATCGCGTATATCTAGTGTTACTCGTATCACTATATGAAGGCCCCTAACCCCACAAGGAGCCTGCAGCAGCTAGTGCGGAAAAGTAAGAGATACTTTTTTTATAAGTCATCGAACGAATTGTTTGATCTTTTTCCCCCGACTCCAAACGGGAACTATTTGTATTGAATTCCTATGTCCAACTTAGCATTTTTCTTGCTGCAAAATTTGTTCGAAAGTCCCATCGAAGTTTTAAAAATATCGTGATGGACTAAAATTCAAAGCACAGTACTGTATCGTACTTTTTTGAGTTTTAGGACACTAAAAAATTTTTATTCCTTTTATACAGGCATACTTCGCAGCGTTCGGGAAAAGTTTCAAGTCCGCGGAAATATTTGATCCGATAGAGAGCATAGAAATTTACAATCTCATGTGCCACTTGCTGAATATCGATCCAGCACCCAACAACGGGACCGCGGGATCGTTGTTCCATTTACTGGCAGAGTCTCAGAAAGCGTTCAAGAAGCTGGGTCCGGAGCACTTTCCGCTGGCCGGAAACACGAGCGAACTTGAGTTGAAGAACCTCGGTGAGAAGGAAAAAGTACTGGGCTGTAATTGCGACTTCGCGTACCACAAGGCGCGTAAACCAGGAAGTGACGCGGATCCGCCCGAGAAGGAAGTGAGCTTAAACGACATGAATTCTCACGCCCCGTGGGGGATTCCGGTTGCGTTTGACGGCGTTCACCAGAGTTCCTTGTCCATGGTTTACTTGACGCAATCCAACTTCGTCATCGGTATGACAGCGAAGAAAGAAAGGGATTAGCACGTCCGGTGAACTAATACTCAGCAACTTCTCTCTTTCTTTTTTTTTAAGGCTTCAGCAAACAGCTGAACATGCCATTGTGGGTTTCTTTTGTGATCTCATCTCAGCAAGAGAGCGGAGAGCAGCAACGTCAGGAAACGCGACCGAAGCGACAGGTTGAGCAAACTGGCGTCGAAACTTGTTGGGGACTCGACACCCGATTGCCGCTGCTTTCCGACGCCACATGTTCATTGTTGAGAAACCGATCTAAAGAAAGTGCTGCTTTAAATTATGAATCTTTGATCCCCGCGGGTAAGTGATGCAACAGCGTTTTCATATAATAAGCGTAATATAACCTATTTACTCGAGTACCATGCGCCCTTGTGGAAAAAGTGCTCCTCAATTTTTGAAACAAAATTTTGTAGGAAAGCCAAGTGTATCCCACAGAACAAGCTAAACCGATTTTCTTTGGCATACAAATCAGTTCATTCTAGAAAATACTGTAAATGGGAAATTTTGAGATGTAGACTAATCACATTTGAATTAAATTATGCTTCATCGTGTGAGATCCACGTTTTCATCCACCACTTCGATCTGAGCTGAAGCGCATACATTAATTTTACTCCATATAGTCTCTTGGAAATTATTTCTTTAAACTTCACTGAATGTGTTTCAAGTTTCAGACGCACCAACAACTTATGAGAGTTTCAGAAAAATGCTTACTCGAGTATGATGCGCATCCCACTTTTTGATCTTGATTTTTGAGAGGAAAAGTGCATGTGGTACTTGGGTCGATACATATCTCAGCTAGGCTGTGTCCAAATTTATACGACGCGCACCATAGTTTTGGTCGAGCTTTCCAGGAAGCACAACACTTTTCGAGAAATAGAAATCATGTATGCTTGAATCTGTTCGAATATCGGCCATCCTTGATTAAATGTTGTTTTGCAATTTCCGTCCAAAATAGCTCTGACTGTAATCGAAGTATTCCAACACTTCCAAGCGTACTGCATGTGTGCTTGTAGATTTTTTCTTCAGAAGCTTCAATGAAAAACGTTACATGCATTAGGCTTACACGTCACCATTTTATGGATTCCAACTGGAATACTCAGTGTGGGGACGTTAAAAACGTGTTCCCTTGAACATAAAATTAATGAAGACATTGTCGCGGAAAATATTGTAGCCTATTATTTATAAAATACGGCAGTTAAACGTGAACATGTCCTGAATGTTTAAATTTCAATCTAAAAAATATCGACAAGAAGTCAGTCCGCATGATTAAACTTTTTTCAAAATGAAAGAGTTTATCTTCTCGTCTGTTTAGTTGATTTGTCAACATTTTAGGCAGCTATTCGATTGATCAGTCACATGATGGAAACATTGACAAATTCCCTTTGAATACTAGAGCTTTTTGAAGATGGGCGTTACTCCAGGTTGACATCTACCCTTATCCCGTTGCGAACACATTTCGCGGAGATTGTCAAGTCTAGTATGACTGAACACGTCGAGGCATGGCTGGAGCACTTCAAAAACATGCATATCACGATTGGACCCGTGTTTGACTACGATGGCGATGGAATCAAAGACGAATTGAACAAAAGTGTGCCAGCGATCCCGTCTCACATATTTTACATCTTCAAGCGCTGCCTCGAGGATCCTGATGAATATGCGGTGCAGCAATGTCCGGAAGAGTCTCTCGATGCCATCGCAGTCGTACTTCCGAATGACGAGGAAAACGTGAATTGTGAGGTGAGTAATACTTTCTAGGTTTTTTATTTTCTAATAATCCGACTGTCGTGGGAGTGGTCCGGAAAATGCTGAATTCAACGTCCTCATTCATAATAATCAGCGGATGCCGAAGCACAATCCAACTGGAACGTGAGCTGTCGGCGAACGTGATTCATTTCGAAGAGGCGGTTGAATAGAAAAGATCTAGATTGATGACGCGATCAGAATCACGACGGCTTCTTATCCTTTCTTTTTCAGGCGCCGCCAGAGTTCCTCTCTCGACATTCTGCACGAATTCGTGACATAGAAATGCTCACCGGGTTATATTTCCCTCAAGCCCAGGACACGACTGAAAATTTACGACTTCGCATGAAAGTTCCCGGGAAGGTGTGGCCTATGACTCCACGAATACTCGGCCAGCATTCGACCGCACACCACTCGGACTAGACCCACGAGAGCTGTTTCATTTGATGCTGTTATTGCATTTGAACTGTTTTATTGAGTTAAGAGAAGCAATTGTTGTTCTATAGGCTCCCGTCATTTTCGAAATTATTTTTATCTATGTTCAGATTCTCACTTGGAGATTCTGGAAATAATGGTAAGTTATAAAACTGAGAAATTGTTGCATCCACTTTCATTTTTTAAGAATATTGTATAATCAATGAGGTGAGTTAGCAGAAAACATGAATCTGTGTCGAATTCTGGTGTAAGCCACGCTCGTCACCCGGAAAGCCCAAAGCTCAAGATAAAGTTCTCTCTTCACGCATCGATGTGACCATGAGGACTGGGGTAAGACTTGAGAGATGCCCGATGAAAACGGAATAATACTTTTACTGCATCTCTGTCCTAGTTTATACACTACGCTCGTAAAGATTGTATGTTTCTCCAGACGGTGTCGCACCTTTATAAAAGCAAATGACCGCACGAACTCCGCTCTATGTGAAAACAATCAGCGACTAAGATAGATCGCCTCTCCGTTTTTACATGAATTTCGCGCGTTTTCTCAAGTTGTGGGATGATCCTATCTGGAGAATATTCATGTACGGCATTCTAAAATTCCCAGAGAATTGCACATATTCTAAAATTCCCAGTTAATCGCAGGCAAACTCTGAGTAGCAATCTAATATCATCGATATGAACACGAGAGTACAGTGTACGCGCGCGCATTCAACTTTTTTATATTATCGAAAATCTAAATACTCTGAAAAAATATGAAAGGGTATTAGAAAAACGTGATGTGGGCATATTATCCACGTGCCCGACAAAAATTGTTCTCTTGAGGCTTGAACTGCTGGACACCAGCTTATATCTTCTCTTCCTTTATTCGACCAAAATATTCCCATTTATTTTTTGTACCGAACTCTGATTGCAAAAATCGCAATTTCTATGTATGGCCCTCATTTTGAAGTGTAACGAAGAGGTCTGAGGACAGATCACCTCTTTTGTGCAGTGAAGATCGTGTAGTATTCTTTGAAAAAAAATCGCGGGAAAATTACACAAGAAAGCCTTTATTGTCAAAGAATTACACAACATTACTAGCAGGTCACGCTATTCGGCTACGCTCGCGACAAAAAGCGTTGATTTTTTTTTCAATACCACACGTTTACAAAGTCGAACACAGAGAAAGAAAATATTCTTAGCTCGACAGAACGAGAGTACACAACTTCTTCCTTCAAGCCAGAAAAGTGCACGGCTGGCTGGCTGGACTGTCCTGTACTCGCATCATGGACGCGTGAAAGCGCACGCACTTTAAGCGTCATCCTTCTCGTCCGCTTCAAGAATGAGTTCCATGGACACTCCTCCGCTCGTCACCACCACTTTCCTGCTTTCGTCCAACTTGGAAGGCAATTCCTCACTGCTCACCATCATGATTTCCCCGTTTTCACCAACAGCGAACACGGCTTTCCTGGACTTCCCGTTGCTGGTAGTGACCTCGTACGTGCCTGTCCCTTCCTCCACGGTCAATCGCATCCTCGCGCGGTCGCTTCCGAACTTGAAATTGATGAAGGCTTCGTTTTTCTGCGATAGGAAAAAAACATATGCATACAGCATCTCAAAGCGTACTGAAAAGTGCTCTTAATCGCTGAGCTCGTCAATAAAATCCATTTGCCTGACACCGTTTCGCCGCCAACGTATGTAAGCGAGCCTTTTTTTTTCCTACTCCACCCTGCTTTGGAAGATCACAACTAGACTGATATCCAGAACGACAGGAACGTGTTCAGTTTCTACAGGCGGCCATTTTGCTGTAGAAAGCCCATTTTCTTGGAAAAGTGATCCAAATCAACAGCGATAATTCGATGACAGGCCGCTTCGGTGTTCCTCAGAAAATAGGACCGGAATTGATCATCATGACCGCGAAATGAATCAAGGTTTATAATCCAGTGGGGTATGTATTACTTTTAGATGAAAAGCAACAATACTTATTTACAACAATTGAAACTTTCGTGCTGACATTTTTTGGAGATGGGTATTGTTTTCAGATCGTATACGTAAAAGCGAGACAAGCGTTGATCATCAATCGGGGAAAATCTATCAAGAATGGGAGATTTGACATGTCGGAGGGTCATATGGATTACATAGGTGGAGCAGTTTTTGAAAAATCTTCATGGGACTTATTCAATGGCTAGAACACGGTTGCAGTACTTCATTTTTTTTCCTTTCGCCTACAGAAGGAAAAAAAAAACTGCGTCGAGCGAGCTTTTTACGAAAGATGTTCAGATGTTCCACCTCGAAACAAAGGCGTTGTTTTTGCTAACCCGAGTCTCCTATTTCTTGAGTATATTTTTCGAACAACCCACGCACTAATCAAAGTGGAGCTGTCGCGCGAAGTTCTTCTTTAGAAAAGCTAGAAAAATATGAGATCCGCTCTTCTCAGGTTTCCCTGTAGCGGCGAGAAGCTCGAATTCCCCCAACAATTGACAATGGAACCAGGAACAATGGCTTTTTCAAACTCTTTCAAGCAAATCTCGCGCTCACTTTTGTCCGGATGAACGGTCTGTCATCAGAAGAGGCCCTCGTGTCGTTCATCATGTCCTCGGTTTCCCCCGATTCCCGAGCGTTGGAAGAAATTTCGGCAGCACTCTCGGGCTCAGGTTCGCTTTCTTCTCCAACGGAATTCAGGACTTCTCCAACGACGTCCATCTGCTCGACGTTAATGTCAACGTTTAAATCGTCTTTGCTAGTCTCTTCAGGCAGCATATTTTTGGACGTTTCAGGCAAAACAGACACAACGCTGTGAGTTGAATCAGCAGGTTCCATGTCCTTGTCTGCCGCAATTTCAACGATTACTGCAAGCAGGAAAAACGTAAGTGAAGCTATTTCCACCATCATTGCGGCATTTTGAAGCAACTCGGAAAACCCCCAATGAGTTGCACTTCACTCGAGATTTATTACAATATTTGTACAAAGCAGTTCCAGTTTTTTTTACTAACATCCGATGAGCATGGGGCCTTCCCTTTTCTTTCAAAGTATAAATCTTAGTTCAAACACACAGGTTCTGAAAACAAAACATGAAAAGAAATTTAATTATTTTTGAAAATTTTCAGAAATAGACTTATATATGTGCTAAAAACTGAATAATGAATGGGAAATGATCTTCGAGCAAAATTATTCGAAGGAGTCCGCGTGCCCTGTGACCTTGCACATTTATTATATTTTACACTCCTTGAAAATACAAAATAAAAGGGTTAATATGAATCAATTTGGTCAAAGTTTCAAATAATTCAAAATGGAAGGCTTCACTCTAGTCGGATTTTAGTTTTAAAAAAACCTGGAAATGTGGTACGCAAATACTGTATTGTGCTAAATCTCTAGTAAAAATTTTCCTCTGATATAACCTTTCTTCACTTCATCAACTCTTAGTGTAGTATCGATGTTTCTTGAATTTCATTTTATTCATTATCTGTACTTATAAGAAAAAACTTCGAGTCTAAACTTCGACAACACGGCCGCAGAAGCCTTCAGGATAGGCTGTTTATTGAAAAAAATACTTTCTGCGGCGGGAAATAAGCAGCCACTAGTCGTCCGGATCGTTTCTTGGAAATACAGTATTGTTACAGTACACGTTTACACAAGACACTGTCATAGACTGCGTAAAGCTTCGGTTGCAACATCATATTTTCAATTTTCTCAGCATTATAGTTTTAAAAAAAAAAGGCGTGATCCATGCTTTTCGAGTTTTCAGCCAATTAATTCCAGTCTGAAGCCCTGAACTAATTGAAGGATAAAATATTGGCAGAGCAGAAGTCCGTTGTACTATACTTCACTCGTAAGGGACGCAGTCGAGAAGCCGCATTTAATGGATTACAGACAGCATCCAAATATTTGGTATTCACTTGAGAGAAAGTGGTGTATATGATGTATGAAAAAAATCGTCAAATGTGGAGGGAGCAGCTATCGCATTTTTATGAATAATGACATAATAATTACATGAGCTCGGGGAAAAATCGATCTAACACTCGAATGACCAACGAAAAAAACCATGAAGTCGCAGAGAAGAAAATATTCAAGGTGTTTTTGCTGCAGTATAATTTTTTTCAGCATCATTTTTTCCATCATTCGATTATTCGACTTCATTCTAAACGCATTTAAATAAAATCGAAGCTGCACTACTGAGGCCTCTTTATAGAATGCACTACGTTCACTATGGGGTCGCAACATAATTTTAGTGATTTTTTTAAAGCGCGGCGTGTAAAGTACTTGCACAGTACCTGCATCGTCGCCCATAGGCATAGCATTGCTGTCCATCGCTGAAGATTCCTCGTCTGGGACTTGTGAAGACGGATCCACGACGCCGGACCTGGCTTCAACTTTCATCTCATGCATTTCAGACTCGGCCGTTTCCATTTCTTTCCCTTGGGAAGCAGTCTCTGGCTCAGGTTCGGATTTGGGTTCGGGCTCAGGCTCAGATTCGGGTTCGGGCTCCGGTTCTGACGTTCCCTCATCCCCGGTGTGAGACGCGTTTCCCGGCGAAGTATCCGGATGCGACACGGGTTCCGGTGAAACCTCCGGGTTTTCTCTTGGTGCGACAGGTTCTGGAGATGATTCGGGTTCGGGTTCTGGTTCTGCCACTGGCGTCTGGAGCGTGTGGGCATCATTCGAGCTAGATGTTTCTTCGACGTCCATGGCAACCATTTCTTTTCCTTGAAATAAAACATGAGAAGGTCACGGAGTCAGCATACTCCTTGACATTACTTCTTCATGTATGAAACTATGCTTACCGGTGGGGGCGGAAGAGTCGACCATTTCCTCTGAGGAATCCGTGTGGTCATCCGACGTGGGAACTGGGTTCCCATTTTCATTCATCATGGGCATCGCGCTTATTGCGACGACAAGACCCAAGAATACCATAAAATGGATAGACGTCATCCTAAAATATGTTTTCCTTCTTTCACTTGGAAGATGGCGGTTGATTTTCTAAAAATGAAAGGCCTCCTTGGATTCTGAAAATCTGCAGAAAGCTTTCCCTCGTCAGTCAAAAATTCCGTCACAAATTCATAAATTGAAATAATTTTCGAGGTGCTCCTCAATCTACTGCAAAAGCTACATCCACATTTCGGCAATCAAGTGAATTCATCAATAGTTTTGAATTTTTTTGTCCAAACGAAAGAAATTCTGGATTCAAAATCCGAAGGGATCGCGAAGTTCGTCTTTTGTTCCGTTGAAATGGCTCCTTAAATTATTCGAGACACTGGTTGAAATCAAGCACAGGAGAAGTTTCACAACAGGAGTCAAGTCCATTAGCTTCGGCGTCGCCGACTTCCTCGGCGCGACTGACAATCCCAAAGTTCGGGAACCCCTAGAAAACAAGACCCAGGCAAATTTTCCCCCTTCTGGGATCAACAGAAGAGAAAAATAAGGCATGTATTGATCGTTAAAAAAAAAAATCCCCCCACCCACGCGCAAAAAAAGGGAAGAATGCAGCCATTCGCGAAAACATCGGGGTGTCGTTCCCCCATGAATCCGCAACTTGCAAGAAAACAACCCCAAGAAGCCTTTTTGGCACACTGACTTACTGAGGACCTCGCATCAGGGAGACATGTCACGCTCCAGTTACTGCCGGAGCTTCGGATGTCCCGCCAGATGCTGTTTCGACATTTCTGCAAAAGTCTTGTTTACGCGCTCGGTTAAGATAAACGAGAGAAGCTTGTTTTCGAGAAGGTTTTAGGAAACCAGGCCTGATTTATTCTGTGAGGAAAATAACCAGGGAACCCCCATGAGGTTTCCGTCGAAAAATTCCTCCGGTCTGTAATTTCAGCGCAATTTTACGCAGATTCGTGCGATTAAGCGAAGTTGCCCGAGCAGCTTGACAGTCTCACTGGGAAGAACAGTTTTCACATGTTAGCAGTCACCAACTCTACCTTTCACTCATATATCGGTTTCGAATGTAATCCTAGTACAGTAGCTGAACCAGAGTACATCACTGCATCTCATCAAAAAAGCTAGAGAAACGTGCGCCTAGTTTCAATAACAGCAATAACGAATGGGAATTGTCAACCACACCTGCTGGCCTGAACTGATCTGGATTCTAGATCGAATGAAGCGCCGAAAATAAAAGAAAGTGTAAGGAACTTCCCTAAATACAGTAAAATTAAAAAAGGATCAATCTAATGCAAAGAGGACACGGCTTTGTGATCTCTGGCAAAAGTTTTGTCAGACATACGATAGAACCATTTGTTTTCCATAACATTTGTATGCAGCACGAACAACCCAGAATTCTTCTATATTTATATCATGTGGTGGTCTCTGAAATACTGCTATTTACGAGAAGACATTCTCTGTATGACGACTTGAGTTATTCATCACTGTGGAAAGAAAAATAGAGTTGATCTGTCTCAATCCTTCCATCACTCATCCCCGCGTTTCAAGCCAACTAAATTTTTCTCTGTGTATTTGAGGATTTTAATAATGCAGGTTATATAGGAAAAGTTTCGTCCGCATTCCTCATGTGGCAGATCTTTGGCTAAACCATGTACTGTGCTGTCAAACATCGAGTGTTACTGGATAATGCTGAAAACTCACAACTTTGACTACAGCTAATCACGATTAAGGAAGTTGTGATGCTCAAATAATTATTTTTTTTTACCGTTCAGTGAAAATTAACGAACTTATTCATCATAACCATGCGCTCATTCGCATCTCAACGGAACACGGACTTTCAAGTATCAAGCTGAGTTTTTCGCTTCCGCGCAGTCATGTCACTCGGCTCACCTCAACTGGCGCGACATTTCCGCATCGCAAGCGGGTACCCGAGACGAAGATTGAAGATTAAATTTCGAGGTTCGAACACCATCAGATTTTAGACCCTTCCCCGTTTTCTGCGAAACCCACTTGAAGAGATACGCATCTTTTGTTGTCCTTGATGAAGGTTGACCAAACGGACGGAAAAAGGATGACCCTCGTTCAGCATCGAGTGCTTCGTCTGTTCCGTCCCAGACAATGACAATTCTTTCATGCATTATTTCTCCAAGGACTGGTACATAAATACTTTATGGTGAATGTGGCATTATGAATCAGAGAAAAGCTTCTCTGATCAGCAAAATTTTCTGTCGTGCTGTCCAATGTTCTTTAACCTGTCCCTTTTTTTTTTATTCCACATCTAGCGAAGGGAAAAAAATAATAATATTGAGCTTTGTGTCACACAAACTTCTGAAATTATGCTATCATTCCAAGATCCTCCATAAAAGCCTTTGTGGATCAATAACAAAATTTTGAAGCAAGCCTTCTCAAGTTCTCATCACTTTCAATGAACCCAGCTGATTGCTGCTCTTCATTTGATATTTTCAGGCAATCCTCCCATTCAACAGTTTGAGAACAGACATACGAGAAGTACTTGAATAAGCACATGTTTACCATTTGCCAGCATTATCCCTGAAGCGATTGGTAGAGCTCAGATAATCTGCAAATGAATAAAAACTAAACTCGTGATGAATGCAACTTTTCCAGACGGACAGATGGAGGTGCACTCAAATTCTGTATTTTCCTGAATGCTGTCTGAAAGTAAGATGACAATGCAAACAGCGATCATGACGGTTGAATGTAATCCAGAAAATACAATTGGGTCTATCCCTTCGGGCATGGGAGATGAAATGGGAATAGGAAGACCAACAAGGCTTGTGAAACAAACAGACGGTTGGTCGATCTTCCCTTCTGCTTGAAACTCGTCAATGATGCGGCATATTTCCCCGCGACGAGATCTATTATTCGACTTGCCAGTTTTTCCTCCATGTGGCTCAGGACCTGACATGAGAACGGTTCAAACAATGGAGAGTGAATGAAACAGGATCGCTCATGAAACATTAATGAATTTATTCTCTTAGAGCAGAATCTCCGAAATAATCAATCTTCCGCATCGATTTTCTATGATTCGAATAACGTCTGCCATTCGCGAAGCTTGCCGGTGTCCCGGCTGCTTTTCCGTTCCTCTCCCAAAATCACAATAAACACGAAGTGGACATTACATTCCATTCGGGGGGAAAAAAGCGACAGCAACGGATGCAAAAATCAGGTTGAGACCTTCCTTAGGCCGGGAGTGCAGAAGACTGAAGCGTCAAACTCTCCGTTTCACCACGCGAAAAGAATTCGCCACAGTTTCACCGTGTTCATTCAGCTCCACTCGACAGCAGCAGCTACACTTCAACGCTGAACTCCATGTGACTAGGTGTTATATCGGAAAACATACTTCATTCCTTCGGAGCTGGCTTGGCCAGCTCCACAAAGCAACCGGGCTCAGCTCTTTCTCAAATCACGCCTCTCGTGACTGAAGCAAGTTCATGCATCGACTTAAACGATATCGCGCGCAGGAAAATTGTTGGCACTGGAACCAGCGTCACAGGCGCACCCTTCAGCAATCAAGACTCCCCCTTCCCCCGCGACGACCGGGGGACGGAAACGCCTACGGTATCTCATTCACGAACACGAGCAACGAATTGTCTACGAACGGACAGAGGACGAGCAACCGCGATAAATAAACAGCCGAATGAATGTAGTCAGAGTTTGACAGAGCAAAACGCAAAATTAAAACAAAACAAAAACAAAAAACCATGGCACATGCCTCACACAGAACGTATTTGGTCTCTCCAGCTCGCAAGGCCGTTCGCGCAACGAATGGAAATGCATTTCATCGCAAACCTACACTCAAGAGTCGCGTTCAGAAAAAACGATGAGTCGCTCCCCGCAGCGCCCGAACGCACGATTCGCCCGCCCGCCAGCGCGTCGGATGCCGGGTCAATTGATCGGTAAAACCACAGCCTTGGACATTTACGAGGTGATTGGATAGTAGGAAACCAGGCGACAAGAGCCGCGCAATATGGTTAGGTTCATGCGAAGACTTTGTACGAAGCGATAGATTCCGGACTGTTGCGAACCGGAGTCCGTCCCGAGTGTCAGCGCAGATTTGGTGCCATGCGAAAAGGATCGTCGGAAAAGTGGGCCTTGCGAACGGCGGCTTACGGCTTAACGTTGAGTACGTCATCGAATCCTCGTCCTTTCCGCACGACATACAAAAAACCCTCAATAAAATTCACTCCATACAACACTAGAAAGAAAAGCGCATTTGCGACGGCGCCGACAAATCCGCGGCTCGGTGCGTCCGCGTGCCGAACGGAAAGCAGAAGGAATATTAACCAGCGGTCAGCAGCCGCCGCGTAGTTTTTTCTTCCCATCCGGCGACGAACGCAGCCGCCGCCACACACCGCGGATCGAGTTTGCCACGTCCATCCTGCTTGCCTCGTGCTTGCCCCGTCGTTGCTCGTCGCGGATTATTGAATGACACAGCACTTGTTCTTCGTTTTGGATTTTTTTATCACTACGCGCTCGGCTTGTTGGGCCGGCGAGCCCACGACAGAGCGCTGGACCTCGACTGAGGTCGGCTGGTTGGGGCCCGAAGAGTTGCCATTGGCTCCGGTGCGCGACAGACACTGCGACTTGCTGCTGATCGGCGAGTCGAGCGACGGCGGCGCGGCGTCCACGCGCGATACTTGCTCCGATTCGCACGGCGGTGCTGTCGGTGCAGGGCCGGGTTCCCGGCTCGTCGGGACGCCACCAGCGTCGCAAACGTCGGCTCGTTCCGCGGTGCCCGTCGGCGTAAGCGGCTTGCCTTCTCTGATCCTTTCCACGATCGCGTCAGCTTCTCTGCTCAGTTCCCCGTCTGGCCTGAACGGATTCTCCATTCCGACATCCGCGCTAGAGGATGGAGAAAATCGAAAATCAATTGAATATTGAACAACAATTCCGTGGATGGTATTTCTTCCAGAATCCCATAATTTCAGAGTTTTCACTGATAATTTCCAGACCAAATTTTATAAAACGAGTTTATTGATCTCATTACGACGAAGAGTAATCAGTGCATCCTCTTAGAAAGGAACACGGTTCGAGCGCACTATTTTAAGGTTTCATTAACGAGCATGGTCTAATGCTATAAAATTTTATAATCATTGAAACATTTTCCAGTGGCACTTCCCATATCTAAAACCCATTTTCAGCAGTAAAAAAGTGCTCGATGGAAACTTTTTGCGTGAGTGATGGTGGATGTGAAGGTCTTGGGGAAATATACAATATAAGAGCAAGTATTCATTCGATAGTCCGAGCCTGGAATGCAATCGAAGAAAATGCTTAGCGATTTGCCATTGCACCGCGCGCGCTTGAAATCAAGCGTCAAAACCAGAAAGTACCTCCCATAGTTCTAGTCTTTTCTTCTTCATGGTGCTAATCAATCCCGTCATACAGGTGCACTGTCAACGAAAAGTTAGTTTACAGGAACAGGTTTCCGAAAAAGAATTTTCATGGTCCCCGCAAACCTTTCAGAAGTGCATTAACTAGCTCCTCCACATTCTAAAGCTATATTTGCCGCATAACGAAGGCATTTTCCCCCGTCGAGTATCGTGGAGAATGTCCATCTCTAGAGGATACCTAGAGAACCCGAAACACACCAATAAAAAAGAATGCGTCCTAGGATGGAAGACGGGTCAAATAATATTTCTTTTTTTCCTATTTGCCCAATTCTCCCCAAAAAAAATCCAGACCTCAGTTCTCAAACTATTGCAGAGGTAAGATTTTCTGGACCACTGCTGGATCGAAGTGGACTGCAGCATGTGTTTCTACTTCAGTACTATATTTGGTTCCCTTTCAGCCAGCCTTCCGCTTCTCAACGAGCTTACGATAGAAACCCAATGACTGAACCACGGATTTCCCTTTACCGGTGCACTCGAGCGTGCTCAGACAAAGTCAAAATAAATTCTTGATGGTAAACCACAAATGGATACAAAAATCGCATCCAACTCGCCCAGTCACGCTCCCACCATGACTATTCCGGGCCTCCCCACCGGGTTCGTGTACCGAAAAGCTTACTTCGACAATATGCATCATTAATCATTTACTTTTCTCTGTTAGAAAATTCCATCGAATCGGCGAAATTTACAAAACGTGCTGGTAAAAAATAATAATTCAAGATTTGATTTCGACATAAAACCTACAAGCTCTCTCTGATTTTTCAAATAGCCAAATCTTGAAGTAATCTGCTGGCCGCTTTTCCAAACAAGCACAATTATCCTTATTTTGTCATCAAACCATACAAAAATAATTGCAGGAAAACGACGTATCGAAAGTTTAATGCGGTTCTTCAATGAAAAAAGTTGATCTAGCATTTCCTTTTAAATTAATCCATAGCAGTTTTGTGAAAATATTCACATTTTCGTACAACAGAATTTGTTTTTTTTTCTCCAATCCAGATATTAAGCAATAAGTTGACAAAAACTGTCCTTGCCGGGGATTCGTAACAGAACTGAAGAGCAAAACAGAGCCTAGTAAAATATTTGAATTTTTCACGAAATATCTTTGACACAGAAGCGAAGCCCTCGGGGATCCTACACAACATCCTCCCGGAAAAAGACAGGGTAGTGCAGTGCGGCCGTGGCAAGATTTGAAGAGATTCAAAAGAATTGTTAAAAAATTTAACGATATTTATAAAACTTCAAAAGTCGATTTTTAAAATCACGGAACAAACCATTGAACGTAGCAGACTGTTATGGGGAAAATTGAAAATTAACACCATGGCACTTCAACCCCAACAAGCTTGTTTTTTTTATTCATTGTCGAACAACTAAGTATCCAGACATTTTGACATTTTCATTAGGAAAGATGATATTCATACCAAACAATAAAAGTCTTGATAATTTGTTCACGAATAACTCGTCAAAAAAATTGAAAAATTGTTGAATAAATTCATTCCTCAAAAAATTTTCAGCACACTGTAAAATGAATGAAAAAATTTGGCCATAAATACAAAAATACTCTCTTCTCATCTTGCAATGCACTGAAAAACTCCTTGAAACATTTTGAAAAATACGTCACACAATAATTATCAAAGAAATTTGAATCATGAACGACCTTTGCGGGACTGGTACAACCCTCGTTTGGTACACAGCGGACCGAGGAAGTTCGCATACGATTGCAGCACATTCATGTCAGCAAAATGGGAGATGAAGGGAATCCATACTCCTCTTGGATACGCTTCATTGCAATGCGGACCAAACGGAAAATAAATTTATTCTGTCGACGTCGCCGTATGCATCAATTACACCATTGAACGTAAATCCTCAACGAATGCCTCGGAAAACGTAAATTTATTTGCGAGTATTTCCCTCACCATAATCTTGAGAGACAACCGATCCTTTACATGAAAAATCTTCCGAACTCGACTAAGGATTACTGCGAACACGAAAGATCTGACAGTACTGATGAGTACTGACGCTCACCGCACTTCCAGCCAACAAAGCCAGGCTAAATTCCCCAGCGTTCAACCCGGATCACGAGAGAAAAATCCCACCGGAAAGGATAGGAATAGCACCTCTTGCCTTTCGGTAATCTGGCATTACACAACGGGGCATTCCAACACTGTCCCACGATATCGACCAAACTAGAAAGTTATTTCTCACAGGATCACGAGTTTTGCGCAGGGTAAAAGACCATGAGCTTGAAAAAATTCTCGCCAGAAGGTTTTCTGCAGAAAACTTTTTTTTTTTTTCAGGGTGTGCTTCCAAGATGCAGATTATTTCAACAACTTGAGACGCCGAATAGCTTGCATACTCTTGACGCAAGGGTGTCACTTTCATGAACACAATAGCTCACGAATAGTTTCATTCTCACGACGAACATCATGGTCTCAGGCTTTCGATGACGCCCTTCTTTAAATTTGCTCAGGATTAGTGCACCAGTTCTTACCTGGGCGGTGCAGGAAACATATACACCAGCACACCGCCATGAGAGGTGCTCTCTGATTTGCTGCTCGCCGCCATATGGAAACACTTCAGCGAATCATGACTCGCGCGACATCAGCGAATGAGTCTCCTCGCACGGTTCGAACAGGTTTCAATACAAAATAAATGTTCGCGTCGAAGCAGAAGGCTTTCGGTTCAGAACTACCTTTTGACTACCTTTGCTACACGGCGCTGGTACCAAAACCACGACCTCGAAACTCGACAGCAGCACAGAAACACGATACGCTCAGGTTCGAAATACTTTCGCCCCCGACACAAAAATCACGCCACGAGTCGCGACGAAGCTTATTACCATTCAGCAGCTCGAGTAACTCGAATATGTCCCATCTGCAATCCAAATCACCAACTCGTTAGCACCGGGATGAGTCGGCAAGTAAAGCAAACACGGAGAGATTCCCAGGGCACTTTCTCGTTTCAAGCACCACGGGACTCGAAACGAAAACAATGATCTTCTTTCAAAGGCCGTTCCTAGCAAAGCACACACCACTTGGGAAGCAATCGACGAGAGTGACCCGAGGGGTGGAATACATTTGAATACGCGAGGACGGAAAATTGGCAGAAAACGTCTGGGGTCGCACACGTATCCCGGTGACTCCGCCGCCACGAAGCAGAGTTCGACGCGCTCTAGACCCGAGACCATCTGGTCTCCACGGAACCAAGAACAGGACTCCCAATTAACCTCTCTCCCCCCCCCCCCCCCCACCTTTGAAACAGAACCAAGAACAGGACTCCCAATTAACCTCTCTCCCCCCCCCCCACCAACTTGGAAGTCGGCCAGAAAAACACCGCGAATTTGCCCAAGAGGCCGTGACGCCGGTTCAGTACCGGCAAGATTTCTCGCAGCTATTCCGCAAACGGCACGAAGAACTTAGCCTGGCGTCGATTCATGCTTCGTATTGACGGACCACGACCCCGTCAAGATTCTGATCGCGGAACTTTGTGAGGAGGAGAAGGTGTGGAGCCGGCGGCGGAACTGTAACGACTGGCTCAGTTCATCTCGCCCTGGGAAGTCGCCTCCGACAGGTCACTCCGCAGTCGAGACAGCAGCGAAGTGCTCGCCGAAAGAGCTCGTGGAGCGACTTCAAAAACTGCTCTTCGCATTTCTAGACGTCCAAGTCGCGTTCACCTAGAAAGCGCCTGACTCTATTCGTGGGGCTTCTTAAAAGTCTAGCAAGAAACCAAGTCGTCATAACAGAAAGATTCAACTTAACTGAGTTTATTTCAGCAGCTTCTTGTCATTTCTGCCAAAAAGAAAACGAAAAATGCTGCGAATCTGTTTTCCACGCCGGGAGAACTCCACACCGCAAATGGTGGTCGCGTTCTTTTTATCGCGGGGTCCGCCAATGACAAATAAATTCCCAGAAATATTTTTAAATATATACTGTACGCAGGATTCAACCCAAAATTCCACGAATAGTGTTGGATTGCCGTACACATTTTAAGAAGAAATTATTGTCAGTGATTTCCTTTACGAAGGGCACCTAAAATATGTAAACTTCCGTTGACAATTTGCTCTCTGTGAATTCAGCTGTCGAAGAGACAGTAGAGAGCCCCTGGAGAGGTTTTAAAAATGTCTCAAGAGAAATGCAGGCCCGATTGGGAGGATCATGAAACCCCCGAGACGCTGGCAGAACCATGCAGACCGTTGAAACCCGGTGCAAGTGATTCACTGGGGCATAAGGGACCTTTACAATGATATGCAATGCGCTTCGGAAAAACCTCGGCATAGAAATGAAGTCGAAAATGGGAGGCTGCCACAACCCGATGTACCATCGTTATCGACCGACGTCGACGCGTGTGTTCAGCATAAACGAAACGACATGCCTGCACTTCGTGAGCCGCGTGATGACTTCCCGAGGGTGCTGCGGAAGTCCGGAAGTTTGGAAATGCAGTTTCAGTGTTCCCGTGTGGGCGGCGTGCTCAGCCATCGGTACTGCTCCGCCTTTGCGGACTGCGAAGGGATGAGATATTGCAGCGCGCATCTCGTTCCCGGCACAGGGCTGTGCCATCAACAGGCGCGAGCAATTTTCAAACGCGGAATCGCTTCCTTCCCTCGCTCAGCTTATTCCTTGCGTGCAGCACCAAAAACTTTCAGTACTTTTTTTTTTTGACAAACGCAGGGAGTTACCGATAAAATGCTCATCTTCCGCGCACAGAACCCATTCACGACACGTTTCCAGCGAAACACAACTGTTCGCAGTCATTCATGAAAGAATAATCCCTCGACAAGCCCCGATCTCAACTCGGGCCAGAGATTCATCCATTATTCATCGCTGAAAATCTCATTTACTCGCCTGCAGATTCATGACGGATTTAGTAATGGAGCAGCATTACTGCGTCCATCATTACTGGATTCCTCCGCGGAAATTAGAATACAGATGGCAACCCTGACGTGGCAGACTGACAAGTCCTTCCCTAGAAAGCTCTTTCTAGGGCGCGGTTCGCGCACGAAGATTTTCGAAATGATTCGGAGAACAAACAAAATAACACATCGATCGTAAAATCCAGGTCACGATTCGAAAGCCCTCAAGCACCGCTTTTGTGAGACTATCAGGTGAGGCGAAAAGACCATGTGAGCATTTGAAGAGTACTCACTCAAACCTCGGAGAATTCAAACCTCAAAAACGGGATTTAAAAAATTAAATTACGGATGGTTTTTGAAGGGGCAGCACCATGAGATAAAATCCGCGTCACTCAGCTTCCGTCTTAACTTCATGATACGAGCACCCACGAAAACTTGACATTCCTCACTAAACTATTAGACGGAAGATTGAGATAAGTTGGAGTCACCGTGGCTCTATACACGACCCTACATTGTCACGCTATTTTCAGGAAATCCGAGCGCACATCTGACCGTCAGCATGTGGAATATTGATGATTTCCGTTACTCCGAAAGCACGCTCCTCATCCGTCCACAGAATCATTACTGCGGAACTGGATAAATCCTCGTCGTAACTAAGGTTCTTCTTTTTCTAACAAACAAAAAATTTCAACATGAGAAATGCAAACCTAATCCGAGTACTCGTGACGCTCACAATTCAATTCTTGATCCCAACGATTAAGACGAATAATTTCAAGGATCCTTGATTTAAATGTGATCTCAAAAAGCAAGACTTTCGAAGACTATAGACAAGCTATGTAGTGTAACATATTGCCTGTTATCCAAGATGAAAACCGTGAAGACAAAAGGGTTCATTTTTTTCTTTAAAAACCAAAAATATTTTGCGGGGCATAACGTGAGACAAAAGGGCTCCGTAAAAAAATTTGTTCATTAAGAGGGCTCCGTGAGTCAAAAACGGCGTAGAGCCTTTGGATAAAGGAAACAATTACAGTACAGTATAAGCCAAAGGTGCTATTTTATCCATCTGGTCACCAGGAGACTCACTTTGATCCTGGTGAATCTACAGATGAAAGCTTAGGTGATTCCCAGTACGGTTCAAGTGCGTTGAACTAGGAATAAACCCCGCGCTTAGCGAGAATGAATGTGACGGGATTCTATTCAGTCAACAGCCCTCCTACATGAGGGACTGCAATTCCTTTGAAGATGAGAGCTGCCCGACAGACCATAAGACCGACCCCCGCTCAACTATCTCTTTTCCCATTCCCGTATTCACGACGGACGTGGGTGTGAACAGCAGCGATTACTCGCGCAGGCACTGGTTAACGAGTGCGGGTCTGAAATGGGTTGGGCGGGTCGCGAAGGGAAGGAAAACGGATGACTCATGCGGCGTTTCCACAAAATTATCCGCAATTGACCATTTTTCAACATTTTTGGGGAAATCCGTGGGATTTAAAATTGCTCTATAGTACGGTACTGCACTTCATAATAAAAAAAGAGAAACGAGTACCGTAGTTTCTTTCATTTACTGGTGTTTCGCAAACAAGATTTAAGCCGGTCGGGAATAATCAACGGCGTAAAGGAAAGTAATCGGAACGCGGGAAAAATCCTTCTGTTCGTTGAAAAACTTCTCACTGCCTGGTTTCAGTTTCTCAGATGAGAAGGAGCAAACAGGGTTGTATTCGACGGGCGTGTTGACCCATTTCATTTACAGAGCTATTTCAGAAAAAAGTCCTTCATTTCAGTTCATCGCAGACATGGGTGAAAAAAATGATGGAAAATAAAATTTAAAAAAGATACAACACGTGAGAAAATAAAACACTTAGGCTCGGAAAAAGCCCATGCTTCATTTCTCGAGATCAGTAGAGATGTCGGAATCCTTCGGTGTTCGAACGTTTACAAGGGGTTAATCTGAATTTTAAAGAAACACAGCTGAACATTGAATGAAATTTAAAGAGAAAATTTCGCGAAGGCATCTGAGGAATAAGATAATCTTTGAAATGAGCGGGAATGTCAGTGATACAGAACACTTCTACGTTAGGTCATAGTAGAATCAATTTGCTTATCACGAGGAATTGTTTTACTTTCTTGAAAATTTGTCAAACCTGATTGTCTGGGCTAATACACAAGGCGATGAGGTCGGAAAAGCGAAGTTCTAGTGCATATTTCATGAAAGTGTCCAATAATTTCGTTGCTTGTCCCGAGACTCAAGTGCTGTAGCCAGGTCTTTAAATTTTCCATGTAATAAGGTTAGCGTTTGGAAGCGCGTGAATTTAAGTTGAAGACTGCCCCACAAAAACCGTCGATTTCCCGAAGTGGCCCCTCCGCCGAAAACTCCCACTCGAGGAAGCAATCTAACGTAGCTCAAGGGTACCCAAATTCGGGTCGGGTAACTTTATAATTTATTTTCATTTGAAGATGTCTGGAAGGGAGGTCACTCGAAAATCGGAGCGAATCAGGCTAACAAAGCCAACCCTTTCTCATCAGCCGAAGACAATTTATCAATTTTTTAACCCAACGTTGTCGGAGGCATTTTTGAGCGTTGAACTCGGAATTCCGTCACTCTTCTGGCAAATCGCATCGTTCTCGCCGAGAATCCAGCGGCATTACGGACAGAAAAATTTGAAAGCCAACGTTCGGGCTTGAAACACGATCGCAGTTCAATGAGGACACGTTCAGTGGACCAAGATTAACTCAACGCAGGTATATTTATGATATTGAGCTTCGTTCAGTGAACTGACACCCAACATCCAGGTTAACTGCTTGCCGCTGGCGTCTGGCCAGAGAGTGAACGCTCTTCGCATCGACATCAGGCACATCTAAGACTCACACGAATTCGACTTGAATCGTATTTATAACAGAAATCCGACGCGTTCCAGTTTTCATGCGTATTTAATACTCCCGGAAAATCCTGGTAGTATCCAGGTTCCAATGAACCGCGCTCAAAATTTTATCCTCAAAGGTGAACACTGCGTCACCAAATCTTTACTTTTCTCAATATACTGTACTGTACTTGGCATTGTATTACATTATCCGTGATATAGAATTATATTTTCGGGGCTAATACGCGTCGAGATTTTCGGGAATGCCGGTAATAGACCGGGTTGAAAACATTTTTTTTACTCGCTGAATTCCAGTTTGGAAATATCAACTATTCGTAATACAGCATTCGTCCATCAGAGCAAAGGCAACCATTAGCCGAAGTACAGCACTTGTAACTAAACAGTGATTTTCATAACGAATGCAGAAGTTCCGCAAAACTGGTTAAGTATAATGAACTATTTCCCCGACTAATCTGCCGAAACGAAATCTCTGATTCTTCGCAGATTATTTTAAAATGTATTCACTACGTTAGGATCTCAGTGCCTGTTCAGAATTACGATCTGATGTCATTAGACTATACAGTGAAATCTCGTTAAAACAAATACCGTAAAAAAATTTTCAGTACAACATTTTTTTTTTCAAAGTCCCGGCAGAAATCCTATAGGGTACATGTTATAAAAATATAACAACATATAACATTATAACAAACTCATCAATTCCATAGTAAGAAAATTTTCAAGGAACATGTGATTTCTCAAAGAAAAATCCCCTATGAATGCACAGTCTCAAATTTCCCATTCAAAATGGGACTGTGACTGGTTCTTGGGACATAATGTGGAATCAAGGATACAAATTATTAAAAATCCACCTGAACAATTTTTCTTTCCATATTTTTTCCTGGGTTAGGAAAGATGGTGGGGGGAAAAAAAAAAGGGGAACCCAAAAAACTCATGTCAAAAAGGCTTTGTATGCTTGAGAAACCCTGTGCTGATGCTTAGAAATTGTAAGCTTTTTTGGAACATGCACCCTCAAGATGCTTCAACTGTTATTCGTCATCAAGTTTTAATTCAAACAAAAATCCCGGTACTGTATTATCCACTCTTCGGAATTCCACTTTTCATGAAATTTACCAGAGTTCCGTAGTTGTTAGTAAGCATCATTTCTTTCAGGTCTGCTTAATTCGCCGTCTACACAGCAGTAGTGAAAAAATAAGGGCAATAATATTAACTTATGAATAGATCAGCAATAGGAGCGGAAAGAGGGAATTACAACGGAAGAGAGGGATGAAGGAGCGGACCGACTACTCCAATTCAGGTCAACCTATTTATACTTCGTAACCGGACACATCAAAGCACGAGAAACCAGATTCCACAATAACTTCTACAGTAGTAGTATGCCAATCTTGAAGAAAAAAGTCACAACCACGCAGAAAGGCTTGGGAGTCGGAAGTTTTCACGCGGAAGATCCAAATGATTTTCAAAACAGGGCTTCAATAATATTTCCAGGAGACTACTCAGTGGAGGAATTTTAACAAGGCAAACTCCGTGGACTCACGTCATCGGGTCGCTGAAGCCGGCTCCATCACGCAAATCACCAACCACCATGATGGGGTGTTCAGCAGCGGAATGACAGGACTTATTGGGATCGTCGAGGTTCCTGAAGTTGGCTGACGGCGGGTCCGGCGAGCTGACGACCAAAGGGCGTTGAGATTCGTAGAACGTCACACGTACTTTGCTTAAAGCTCGCTCAGCCTCCTCTACTCCATCCTCCGCGAGACTTGCTTTCTCGAATTTCGACTCGGCGATTCTGTGCAGGAAAAGCGAAGAACGACACGTCAGTCAAATATTACGGCGACACAGTAAATTCTTCGATGAGAAAAGCACGCGCCGGCATTTTCACATTGGTCTTTTGCAGCACACTTTCCGGATACTGACACACGCACTTCGCAACACTTCCATTTCCGCGACCGGATTCCTCGAACGAGAGGCAGGGATTCAAAAAAATGTTGATCTCGACGAAGATTCCCAAAGAGAAGGTAAAACCCTGAACCATATATGCGCGCTAAAACAGGAACAACTCGAAGCATGATAACAAAAATAAAAGCGGATCCATTCATCCCTCGCCTTCGCAAGTTCAAGCTGCGAGAGAGTCGACTGAAGAGGGTTGTATTCCACCATCCTTTTTTTACGGCTCGTGCAAGCTGAAGCCTCAACATCGCGGCACGGTGCGCCAGTGTTGCCGTACTCGCGAATGCGCTCTACATCCCCGTAGACGAAACTTAGCAGCGCTCGTGTCACTCCCGGAAAAGCCCCGAAGCAGCCCTTGAGCTTTCCCCCAACGTCGTGTTCCCTTGCGGGGATCACCTGCTCCGACCCCGGGGATTCCCAGCCTCCCCCCTATCGCGAACCGCCTGCCAGGGTCAAAACAAACCGGCCTCGCGGAACTCCCGAAAAACCAAGGCTCCGACAGAGAGCAGGGCGAAATTGAAGGCTGTGGAGAGGGGGGAAAAACAGCTGGGATTATATTGCTCCCTACTTATTCTGGGAAGTTAATTGAAGAGAGAGGACACTCGGCTTTCCTTTTCGACGACCTGCGGTAAGATATCATCAAGCACCAGTGACGTCAGGATTTCTGAAACGCACATTTATTCCCACCCACTTCAAGCGCCGCGCATCGCTAAATGTCAGACTGAAATTATCTTCCTCGAACATTATACCCCATTTTTCACTTGAAGGTTTCACGTGATTCAAGCCAGACTATAAGACCTTTTTCGATCAGTTTAATCTCTTTTCACGGCGTCCAACCTTATTTTTCAGCGAGACCTTTTCAATACATTTTTCGGAAGAGTCCCATCAGACCACTGTACAAACGCAGTACTGTAATCTTAAAAATGATTGATCTTGCTCCAAAAATTGAAAATGCTCGCGTTGTCCCATCTCCATCAAGTAAAGGCAATATGACAAGTCCTCCCCAATCCTCCAAGGGCAATATTTCCTGAAACCAGTAAAATTACACTGAAATTTTCACATCGCGAGCTTTTCTTGCAATCCGGATAAAAACTGCGTGGACTCGAGGCATGACAAATTTGTAGGCCCCAACACATATCTCACCACGGAATTCTACCTTCATTTATCTTTTTTTCTCTATCTCCGCTGGAGAGACCGAGGAATTCCTCGTAAGTGCATTTCTAGAACATCTGCTCTAGGCATTCGTCAGCTACTCCGTTGCTGTTGATCGCGCGAATTTTTCCTTCCACTTTCGCGTAAGAAATTTCTTATCCTCCGAGAGGGGAAAAATCCCAGGAAAGAATCATTAACCGCACGAGCGAAGGTCGTGTCGCGTCGGAATCGCTCACCCAAGTTCGCAAGGCTCGTCAAACGTGCCAGAGTCGCCGAAACAACTCATGACATTGTCCAGCCAAGTCCGTCCGGAAATGCGATCAACAATTCATCGTCACAGGCTCGCGCGCGGAAACTGGCCACTCGTCACTGCCAAGGGCTCTAGTCCACTACTAGGGCTCGGGATCCCACACTGGACTCCGCGTGTCCGATCAAGTTGACAAACAAACGACGGGACAGGGATGCAGCAGCTATGCGGTCCCAGGGAGAGCAGGACGGGGGAAAATAAAACCAGAAGGCTTCTCTCCCGCAAGTATAATGTTCCACAACCTCTCCCCTCAGCCTGCCCTGGTTCTCCAAGCGCAGAAAGTTCGTGAACGAAAAAATCAGCAGAGAAATGGCGCTTTGGAACTTCGCCAAACCGCGAGCATATTTTCAATTTCTCCGTCCTCAAACAGCGCTCACGCTTCCCGCGCCACGTGTGGACGTATTCGCAAGTTCATCCTGATTCTTCCGTTCTCTCTCCCTTTTCCCTCCCGCATGGCCGAGGACCAGACGGTTACGAGAACAGCAAACGTTTGTTTCAGCCGAAGAGTCTATCGAAGCGCGGAAACTGCGAAAAGGAGTTCCCATGATCGCTAAAGGGAGAGAACGCTTTCTAGACTGGGCCGCGATTCATTCTGAAGTATCTTGCTGTAAAATCGGCCATTCGTGCCTCGATCAACGGTGCGCCGAAGTTTCGACACAAAAGCAAATTTGCAGCGCAATTCACTGGGTTGATCAGTTAGACGAATCATGATCCCAAACCTATTCTGGATGACATTTAATTTCAGGGCTTCTGAAAAATGAATTACTCATCGATATTCGAAGGAAGATTGCTAGAATTACGTAGAATATTCTTACAAAGTTACAATATCATAATTTTAGAATATTCCGGAAGGAGGTATTAACCCAAGCATTCGAGGTTACACTCTGCCTTGTATTCCCTACGTGGAGCGAGGTCCAGCGATTTTCTTAGAATGATATCTCTCACGACTTCTACAAAATTGGGACACATCCAGCCATTTATTTGTCGATAAAGTTAGTTCGATGAAACCCGATGATGACTGCGACCCAGGGATAGCGCCGATAATGTAAACCCAGTACGTTACACAGATCAAGCCCATCATTTTTCTAACAGGGGAGAGAAAATTCTCGAACTGAATTTCGCCACACTCGACTCAGAGTGTTTTTTTTTCCTGAACAACAGATAATTTAAAGTTGAAAATACCACGCCGGACACTTTTTCGCAAATTCCTGTCATCGGGTCCTCCGTAGTAAGGGAGGAAGTTTCCGACGGAATTTCTTCGGACCTGGTACACGGAAGGGGCCTCTTCAGAAGAAAGAAGTTTTGTTTGGAAAAGTTATGCAGTACAGTATTTAAAAAAATTTTTTTTGAACTCAAGATAAGCTCTTTCTTTCCCGCTCTCATACAGGATCCACTGAACGCATATTAGCAATTTTGATTTCCATGAAAGCCTGTTACGGTGGGTTCCCTCCCTCCTCGGGGCAAAGTTTGCTGTCGAGAAGTTCCGCGACGGCGGGTCGATGAAAAGCGTTGACAATTCCGCAATGTTCTCTTCTCATATCGCCAAGGAGGGCTGAATCATACGCAGGGAAACCGACGCCTCGCGACCTCGTCTCCCGCATCCATCTCAGTTCGTCAGAGATGACACCGAGCAAAGGCAGATATTCGCCCCCTGCATCCCACGGCTGTCAATCCGAAGAATACAGCTATCCTTGCTCCGGATACAAGCGCCAACAAATTTACTTCTCACACACTACCAGCCCGGATGCAGGCACCGACAAGCGAAGAAGATTCATGGTTGCTCCCCGCGTTTCCGCCATTCCTCAACCGCTGTCGATGTTTTTCGACGCATTTCGTCAGCTCGGCAGGCGGCGTTGCAGTCAACTAAATATTTACCCATTTTCTATAAATACCGCTTCGAAAAGCCCGCTCGTCGGCGTTGAGATAAGGTCATTCTTCAATGCCGTCGAACAAGCCCGACATTACACGACATGACTGATGTCACACACAAAAAAGCGCCTCACACACAACGGGTGCCTCGTAAACGATGCCGCCAACCTCTCACTCGTCGCGTGCGATTAACTTGCGTCGATGCACCTTCGCGGATTTCCTCGGCCTCGGGAACGCGTCCCAATACAAAGGTTAAAATATTAAGATCATAGCTCTTAAGATACTGTATTAAGAGATGGCTAGGGCAAAAAATAAATGGAGACGAGCATTGCGATCGTCGCTGGCACTTCCTCCTCGACTACACGAGGCCTCCGGAATGTACGACTCATGAACATCTCTACCACACTCGCGATCTCATCTAAAGAAGTCTCTTCGGCCCGTCGTCTTATTTCGCTACGCTTGACGGTACGTGCAAAAATAGACGGTTTCCCGGGATGCATGCACTGAGAGCTGATGAAACCCACGGGTGCGACAAAGAATTCTCAATGGATTTCAGCTTTCCATCCCAGGAGAGGGAACACTTTTTCTCCGCTCCGGTTCCGCCAACCTCACGGTGTCAATCGAATTTGCGAGGCTCCACGACAGGGAGTTGAGCTTGCTAGTGCCAGTATACACCAGCGCGTCTCGATTAGGAAGAAAAATAACTGTCCTCCCTCCTAAGTTGACTCACAATCCCATGCTCTGAAGAACCTCTGAAGTTATCTTGCCGTTCGAAACTCACGATAACTTCGCGGCAGAATGCCTCAAGAGACCTTTCGGATCAGTTGCAGGAGATAACGGTTCATTTCCTTTGTGTAAGTCAAACATCCGAGAGAAATGGGAAGATATGAGTACCGTTGATCAACAAGTCAGCGTTCATTTCGCTCACATGTCAGCCAGTTGTCATGAACTAAATTTTTATACATATTATATACAGTGAGACTCCGAGATGCGGACGTAATTGGTATATCAAGAGTGTCCCCAAGTCGAAATGTCCCTAAGTCAAATCTTGTTTTCCCATAGACTTAGATTGTATAATTTTTAATTGGTGTTTTATGGAAGAAATATTCTTCAGAATTTCATGAAAAAAAATTTTTGCCAATTTTCTTGCATAGATCTCAGGTTGGAAACATCTGTTTCTTGCAATTAAGCCTTATAATAATAGATTTTCCTAAAATTTATTTTGGAATTTTACCCTGCAATGTCCCCAGGTCGAGTCAGTGTCCTCATGTCGGGTCTTTTTATGATTTTTTTGTTAAAAAAATAAATGTCCCCATGTCGAGGTGTCCGCATGTGGGGGTCTCACTGTATTTATAAAGATAGCATATAGAAGATTCCGCCAGAATCTCCTCCAATATGTGTGCGATTGGCCAAAAACAAGTCATTCGGTCGATCTAAACCTAGTTAATTCAGCACACTTTCACCGGAGTCCTTTCCTTTTTTTCCGCCGAGGCAAAAATCCATGGACAAGTGGCCCAAACAAGGTTCGCAAAACTTGAACGACGTGCCCCTTGCTGTAAGCGATAAAAAACCTCCACAATATTTTAAAATAAAATATGCGACACATAGCTCTCCTAAAAAAATAATTTACTGCCGTGGATATATGGCACAGTATAGTACTTGCATGGCACAGATGTTCCACTGCTCCCGCTAAATCCCGGAGTAATAAAGTGTACTAAATAATGTCGAGAATTTTTCACGCAGGCGGTTGAAATTCAGATAAAAAAAAAATTTTAACTTTGCCCATGCAACAAGTACAGAACAGTAGTTAACACGTGGATGCTATAAACAGCAGCGCCTCTCCGTGGACGGTCGAAGATGTGATTACCTCCGGGTATTCCAGTACCAAACGTCGTTTCCGGATTGTTGAAACGCTGAACCATTACAGTCTTTCTCTATTTAAAAAAGTGACGCGGAAAATACTTCACGTACGAAAAGAGCGCCTATAAAAATAAACAGTTTATGGAAACTGAATGACGGACAAATTGCTCCGTCGCTCTCATGCTGAAGGGGAATTCCATTTTTAAAATTATGTCACGACCGTTTTTCAAGTGGAGTGGCCCCGAGGATGGAACTCAAGCACTCTCCGGAAACATTCGAGCGCAAGTTATCACGGAAGTACGGCGAAAAAGCCGTTCAAACCGTCCACTTCAAACAGCAAGAAAATAATAATTATAAACTGCCAGGGGAATTGAAGGAGGCATACAGCGGACCTCGAGACAGGGTCAAGTGCATTTCACGCGGTTCAGTCGCATTGCGATACGTGCACTCCTTCTCAGACAACTTCCCGCTGGTCGGAACGCGAGCTGCGGGTGTTCCTATGTCTATCTTTGGACCAAGTGTCTTGCGTGCAACAGGACGTAACTCATTGACTAGACGGCGCATTAGCTGGATCCGCAACGCACTCACTTCACCTTGAATCTTGAAAGGGAAAATAATCATCTGGTGTACGTCACCCACGACGGTAAAGATGCGGCGCCCACCACGCGCAATGAGCCGGCGGAGAGGCAGCAAGTATAAACACTCGCGGAGGAATGAAGACGCGGCACGTGGATGCAAGAGCAATAAAAATAAGAAATAAGTGCGAATGAAGTAAAAAGAGCTCGCGTTTAAATCCTTCGCGTTGCGGGTGCGAGGCGCTACGCAACTAGCGACGGCACGCGCAAATGAATGGCCGGGGAGATAGCGCGGGGAGGAATTCGAACTCGGGTCGGGGGCATCCGCGACCACGCTCTGGCGCCTAACCCGGGAACCTAAAGGCCCGCTGGAGTTCCCCACCGCCCCCGAAATTCGACATCGACGGTAGGGGGAGGTAGAAAAGGCAAAAAGCCGGTTATTGATCAAAGAAAGAACACATGGCACTCGGAAGCTGAGCTGCGCGGGCTGCAGGCGCCCACATAGCGCAGTACAGTGTTGCCGCAGCTGTCACTGACACTCCCGGAAAAGCCCGGGAACAATAGTTGGAGTATTCCCCGAACCAGAGCACATGTGTACCACCGCACAAAAATTTCTTATTGCGCGGGACTGGACAAGAACGTTGCCGCGGGTGCAGCATGCAGGCGTTATGGCTCTGCAAAGTTCTCAGAATTTCTTTAAAAGCGGCGCAGAGGTCGCTCTAACAATAAGCTTATTTACGCTCGCCTGCACCGTATCTCACAGTCCCATGATGCCCTCATAACCGGAAATGCACCATGAAAGTTATTGAAAATGATCAACGGGAACATCCAAGTTTTCACAATAAATAAAAGCGAACCGCAAATTCTGAACAGTTCCATAAGTGAAAATCGGAATTATAGTATTCACGTAGGACGTGAAGAGTACCGCATGTCGATTACCAAATGATTCCAATACATTTACTGAGAACCTTTATCTCATCATCTGCACGAGTATTATTGACCATCCCGGATAAATGGAAGAGAATAAATATTTCTGGGGGTTTAAAAATATCCAACGAGCTTGCATGATATTGTATTATTGACATTTCAGCACATCTCCAAGCTCAACACTTTTCCCCATCTGCCCTCACGATTTCCGTTTCGAATCTACTCTTCTGGCTGTTTCGTTGTTTCTCATAAGTTAATTCACCCTTTTTTGTTCCTCCAAATTCTGTGATTGGTCTCAATTTAAGTAAGCGTCCCTATAAGTGCAAGTCGATCTGATGGAAACGAAGGAGCTCATTACGAAGTCTGGTTTCCAACGATTAACTCGATTTTGAGCAGGGATAATTGTGTTTAGCGTGCAATTAACCGCAGAACGCATCGTGGTTAAGGACATTCTCCACACGACTATACATGATTAAATTATGCAGCAAAGAAACTCTGCTAATACAGTAAATTGAAATAAGCAGCTCATGATCATTACTCACTCTGTACACTTGTTCCGTACTTCTAGAATCGCAACCCGCCAAGCGAATGAATGAATCACAAAAATGAGTCACTTCAGAAAACGATCGACTGCGCCTCTAGGTGTGTTCACTTTCTCGTTAAAAAATAATGTTTTTTTCACAGAACGTTCCCCATTTGTTCTCCGACTGATCATGTTCCCAGATTGGTAGTGATGCGTATACAGTCATCGCTTTCAGTAGCCTTCGAACAGTCCAAGTATTGTAAATAGTAACTCAGAAATAGCATCAACATTTTTGTGGCAGGCAGATTTCTTTGAAAGGCAGAGTAACGCAAGTTGTTATTGCAGAAACTTGAGCACTATAAGCAATGTCATCCGCGGGAAAAATAATTATTTTCCATTGCCACCCGTATATGTATATTTTCCAGCACAATTATAAATATTATTTGAGAGATTGCAGCGAATTCAACATGTGAAACAAACTGCCCTGACGTTCTTAATTGAAATGGTTAACGTTCACTTCCGATTCGGAGGAAACCGACACGATTCAAACATGCGCAGGTCTTGCGTCAATCGTTCGAAATGACGTCATCTTTATTTACTACGGCAAAGGGGTTGCAGCACGAAGATGACACTGTGAGTCATGCCAACTTTGCTCATGACTCTCAACCAGCGCTGAGAGGAATAGCAATTGCGGCCTTTCGTAACGGGCCACAGCCAGAAAGCACTTCCGGTGCATCAAGCGGTTCTCTCTCAGCGACTTCTCGAGCTCTGGTGCGGTCTCGAGAAAGTAAATCTTCGCGTGACTGCATGAATGACTCACCAGGCTGCGGCTGTTCCGAACAGCGAGGAAATATTCTTTGGCACTGCCGGGAAAACGCACCGCACCCACGAACGCACGTATGCACACACGAGCACGAAGTATTCTCGCTCAGCAATCGCAATGATACAGAGCTCAATCGCAACTTTTCTCCCTTTATCCTGCGCAAAAAGAAAGCACTGTGTCGCGGTAATCAGAGTTCTGGCCGATCGGTGCAGTGGGAAATCCTGCAGGGAAAATCTGCTTTCATCCTGGCAAGAATTTTTCCTGTGGGAATCGAGCTTCGCAGACGGGCGGATTTTACTTTAACTCTTATCAAGATAGGCTACTTTCCCACGGGTTTTCCTGCGCAGAACAGGAACGGGCTTGGTCGGTATCCATTAAACCGTTCCTGCAGTTGAAACTCTGCTTTCGGGGGAAGCACGGAGGAACGGCGAAATGTAGTCGAACTCACTCTTTCAAACGTTTACTCGGAACGCGGTGCAGGGAAATGAGACAGGAACTACAGTATTTGATCCACCATCGCCTCTGGAATACCCTCTCTCCGAACACTCCCGCCGTACTGCGCACGCAGATCGATTCGACCGAAAGGGGACGACCGACCCGGGCGCTCGGGATTGCGCAATAAGGCGGGCGTTGCCAACGCAGATCTCACGTCGCGACGCCTGCTCACGTCCCTCCCCGAAGACGAAAGACCGGAACTTCCAGTTGAGTCGCTCGCGGTGTTGGTCTCCCTGGGCAGCGCGCGGATATGTGCGCATCCACTGCGAGGGCCGGGTTGGCTGGTTCCGGAACAACTGGTCGCCAGATCCAATTCGCCACCACTTTAGCAAACGTCGTGTCCAACCTACCGCCACAACGTGGCCATCATGCCAAATTGGACGCGAGAAGCTGCGAGAGCAATGCTGTCTCCTTCGACGACCAGTTGGTCACGATGGACACTTGAGTGGCGGCAAGTTGGACGTGGCGTCGACATGTCCCTGACGGCCACTTGAGAGTCGTCAGTTGGGTGACGGCGAGTTGAACCTACACGGGTTAGCCAGTGCTAGCGAAGAGACGCGCCCTTTCAAAGTTGGATTGCACAGATTGGGAAATCGCTGTAAGCCTGTAACATCCGTGTCTCGGGCCTTGTTAGTTAATTTGTGCTTGATTGCACAGTACTCGCATTTTGATTCCCATTGTGACCCTGTCAACGCGCGGTGAGCAGATTGGAAAATTCCGATCACGGCAACAACACGTGGATGGTGTTCGAAATCATCGGCGACCTCAGGATAATGAAATACAGTACGTGTAGACTCTCTACAACAAAATTGAAGGGGAAAGAAAAAAATCGTTGTCCTAATAACATGGGTAGAGAACCCCATGGGGCCAAACAATTATTCGTTATGCGGAGATAATCGTTGTAAACAAGATCTTTGTAGAGCGACTCCACCTGTACTATTATGGACATGCGAGCGAGCATGCATCCAATTATCTGTTGCGCAACTTTAATGCATTTTCAGTAGTCCTTGAAATTCATCGAAAACCTGACAGCAGTCTGTCATCTTTGACAGAAATTTTACTCTTGAACTCTCCTCATTTGAGGCTTCTCGAAATTTTGTTTGCTGAAGGTCCGAATGAATGTAGAAGAAACGTAAGGTCAGGGGATTTTTCTTCATTTTACTGTACGGTATACAGGGAGGGAGCAGCTTTGCTCCTGCTTACTACACGATCCATGGAGGAAATATGGATTTTCAATTTTTGCAGTAGAACTTTAAACAAATCAACTGTCGAGAAGTGGACAATAGTTTGCGAAAAAGTATTCCATCGGTCATTTATTTGTAAGCTTGAGACATGCCTGAACATCACTGCAAGTTACGCCTAAAACATTACATTTTGAAGAATTCCACATGCCCTTCATCCACAATTCAGAGAACCTTCCAAGATGCGGACGTGAAAGCCTCCGATACAACCGAAAGTCTCGCAAAGCATTACATATCGGTGGCCTACAGTGAGATAAAGTACAGTACAATAACACACCCAACACCGTGTGATGTGGGAATGGCGAGAGTCCAATAAACGCAAGGAACATTTCAATTTCGTCAACAACAAAAACACTCTGTGGAAACTGCGCAGTTCTGCCGACATTATCATCATCCTCATTGCAGTGGATGGTCACTAATGCAGGAACTTCTACTGCGAGACCCAACCGACGGACATTGCCCAGGGCTCATGAAGAGAGCAATAGACAATCATGCGAGATCGCAAGAGCTTGATACATACAAAAAGGTCGAAATTAATTTGTGGAAAATGTAGCTAAACTTGATAGAACAAATGGAAATGAAGGCCATCTTGCGAAGCATTCGTAAAATACGACAGGAGAAGCTCAAGGCTATGACTCTGAATGAAAATCTTTCTTATTTTCTAGAGAGGAAATATAAATGTTGGGGAAATTATTCGTTTATATGGGTACTGCATTAAACGACGTACATGCCCAGGAAACTAATACTTCCTCAGCCCATTTCCCTTCTCCGCATAAATTACTTTCTGTGACCTCGAGTACTTGAAAGAAGTTTTATGGCGACAAGCCAGATCAGACTACAAAATGAAGTAACGTACTGTAAAGTGAAAAAGCACCGATTTGAACAGCAGGATTAGATATTTCGTGTGCCTCCGAACTGACATCAACGATAGTAAACGCGCTGTATCTGTCAGAGAGGGCGCAAATTTACGACGCAAAATCTTAGTTTCATAAAATAATTCAATTCGAAACGACATGACAAGATACATTTCGAAAGCATGGGTCAGAAGTGGGTTAGTTGCACAATATCAGCTGATATCAGTATCACGATCATCCATCGTAAATATGCACGCGTTTTCACGGATGATTCACTCCGCCTGCAGTGCGAGATGACGTGATGCACATCCTCCACACGGCAACAGGTACTCCCTTCCCTTCTCGAAAAAAGTCTGCTGGGGGCCATCATAAGAATACTGTATTTGCCACTAGGCGAACCCAGGGACTTCGAGCACTCTGGCATGCATGCAGGGAAACACGGTAACCGCAAGCGATGAATATAACCAACGGAAAAAGGGTCGCCTATCTCGAGGAAGGGCGACACTCTGGTGACATGGCACTTGGCCACAATATCCGACATATTCCATGATTTAAAAAAAATATTCGCAGGGAAGATTTTATCAACTTTGGTTGGGTCGATATGCATCTGCTGGTCATTCCTTTCGGACTTTTGTTCAGAAAACTTTATCTATGATGGAAAAAGAAAACGTTCAAACTTGCGTGCAGAACCTTCTCTGACAATCTCCGCCTGGTTGCACAACAGTCAATTGTTATCCCTATATAATAAAAGAGAACCAAAAAATGAATTCAATCAGTCCGAATATCGAATCAGGAAGAAGCCTAAAATTGGTGTCTGTGAGGCAAGATTAAATTCGTATGCTCGGTGAAAGTTTTTTCTTTTTGAGTACAGCTCTTTATTGTTACTTATGTGTTAACAGCGGCGCGCCTTGCTTTGTATGAGTAAGGATTGATAATAAAATGCGATTTTAAGCCACGTGACTGCTGGGTTGGGACCGATCCCGAGAAAAGCCCATTCCGAGTTCCGCACTATAAACGACGGCTCCTCGCAACACTTCACTGCCAATTTTACGGGCACTCGGAAGAGTGAATAATTTGAACAAATACTCCATCCGGCAAATTTGTCCGACATTTTTCACACTTCTTTCATGAAATCCTGAAGGATGTACACGTAATGCACGACACCCATTACGTCGTCAGAGCATTCTATGAACTGCGCACCAGAACACCAACACCCGTATCAGAGCTCTTTGAGCAGCGCAGCTTGGATTACATTACACGGCGTAGACATCACATCCAGGCCTCACAGGAAACACACAACGCATGTTTGCGCGTCATTTCTATGAGGCGACAAGGTTTTGGAGCAAGCTGAAGAAACATATTCGGAAGTGTTTTCAAAAACCATGAGTCATTCTTAGATTCGGGAAGATATTGAAATACTGTTATGATTGAGAAGTCAGTATAGCAAATATTTCCTTTACCACGCATAAAAATTAAATTGAATATATCATAGAAACACATTTTTAACGCTGACCAAACAGGGACACTAGGCAGCAAAATGTCTGTCATCCTCCTACACCTCTCTTCATACACGCACAGCGACACAGAGGACCATATAATGTAATGTTGGTAATATTTTTAAAATAACAGCTGAGTGTTTTGTTATTTTTGTGATAGCTAAATTTCTTCGCAAGTCAGATCAATTGCTCTTAAATCGTCCTTACTAAAAATTGTATCAGCCAAATTATGGTTGTTATGCCAATTTTGGAAACGAATATACCGTACATCTGAAGGAAAAAAACACGTAAAAGCAACGAGAGAAGCAAACGAACAGCATACACATACAGAATAGTTTCGGTCTTCAGCTTTTATCCTAAGAGTATCAAAAAAGTCGAGAGATTTGATAAACTTCAATTTGGTCAATAAAAACTCCCTCTTTTTTACATGATTCGTTGAACATGCAATGCGAAGAAAAATGAAGCCCAAAAAATTACTGAATATTATAGGAAATTATTTTAAATGATCATGACGAACGTAGAACTTAGAACAAATGAAGGAGTTATCAACTGCGGTGAAGTTAACATCCCTTTCAGCTTTCAATTCAAATTTAAGTCGAAGAGACTGGAATTAGCTTTAGCATCTTTTTTAACAGAAATAACTTTTTTATCGGTATAAAATACATTATCCTGGTCCACCCATATGCCCATCATTAGCGGGACGAACACAGTGCGTCTATAAATATGTAATACCGCAATTGAACGAATTGCTTTACCCCATTACTTCCACACAACCCCAGAAGCTTAGCTGGTGAATGCGGTCGCATGAGGTTAGCATGCAATGTGCGCGGTTCTGCATTTTATTCACGAATAAGCGCTCCGATTTACCAGGCAAAAGCTGATTTCCATTCATGAAATTCGGGACAGATTCAAGATGTCACCATCGTCATGGATTTTCTGAACAACAAAAACAGTACTGCAGAAATAAAATCATGCTGTGGTCACGATCGATTTTTTTTAGTGGAATTCCCCAAGACGAAGGTTCAAGAACTTCACTTGCAGACGGCCAAAATGTTTTACAGTACATGGCAATCTAGAAAAATACTACGCGGATATTTGATTCCCTTTCCGGAATGACTGAAACACGTAAAAATACGACGGAATCAGGAAAATGTATCTAAAACCGCGGACGTTTTAGAGTAGACATCTGCATGAATTTTCACAAAACATACGACATACAATTTTCTGCAACACTCACTATTTTTTGACTGCCAATTTCAACATAAACAGAATAGTCTAATGCCCGCACCCATTTATATCAAAGATTGAAATTTCAGTAGAAACCTCTAAAATCCATCTAGACTTCTAGAGAAATTAAAAAAAAAAACATGGCACCTATCTCTGCAACACAGCTTACGTTCATATTCGAAACCTGAGTGTTATAAGCTCCTCAGACACCGAGCCGAAACATCCCAGGAGGTCTTTCCTCGAAAACCTTACCTTCCCCAGGTTGCTCACGTACAAACCCAACAATGCAAGCGTTCAAAAGCGAGCGGGAAGAAACAAATACCAAGCTACTAAAACTTCGGATCGCAGGAAGCAATATTCGTATCCCAATTATGCACGCACAGCTACATTCCATTCGCAATTCAGGATACAGTATAATAGGAAGATGAGCGAATGCGCTGCCTTGGACAATTAACTTCGAAGGGAAACTTCGCGTACAGTACAGTATATCAAAAACGCCGTCGGGAGAACACAAATACCAATCGCATTTGAATCCCGAACAGGCATGTCGAATCCTAAAAATGTCTGGAATCATGAGCGCGCAATATTTCCACTTGGGCATGACATGCGGTCCTAATAAATGACGGGGAAACTTTTGCGTCCTTCAGCCGGAACTTGACGGAATTCGACCAAGTCCGAGTATCAGTGGAGAGAAGCAGGGCTCCACCGGTGGAATGTCAAAATGAATACATACGTCAACGATGTACAGTGCTTCGAGTTCGCAAAAGCAATGTTTCTGTCAAATTTAGGCATCAAACCTCAATACGCATTGATAACTCACGAATGCTTCTGTAAATGTAAAACTTGGACCTGCCTCTAAGTTCTTAGCATCACCGCCCAATAGACTTGAATGGCTTCAAAAATACAATTCATGACGAAGTTATCACGGACGAAACACGGAGGCACTGGTTTTGCTAGCTTAGTTCTCACAAGTAACTGTAGTCTCCAACCAAAGCGAAGTTTATCGATAACGAGCAAGGACTATTATGCGTTGAACCCTGAATCGCGGAATATCCAGCCATTCGAGAAAAATTCACGGTCATCGTAGGTGAGCTCAGATGGAAGTACAGTAATGGTGAGAATTCCAAATTCTTGGCGCTGACGAAGATGTACAGCATGAAAATGACATCGCTGAATATCTTTAAAAATATTCACAGATAAGTCAAGAATTTATGAACAAACGGGAGTAAGAATACATATGACAACTGCGAGTAATGGCAGCCTATGTATACCAAAGAATGACATTTTTGGGATTCGAGGAGAGGAAAACGTGACGTCCATGCGCGGATTGGACACGAGAGGGATACGTGCGTAGAATAAACGCTCGGAGTTGAATTTTTTAACTTTTTAAACAGCGTGTTTATGCGGGAATGTAAGCGGAATGATGGTACGAATCGAAACACTTCAAGGTGAGAGAATCCTGCGGCCTCCGCGAAGATACTCAAGATGCCAAGAAAATATATCGTGCTACAGACATAAGAATTTGTTTGTAGACGAGCTGCTTACAGTACTTCGGAAACGGCCGGTCGGAATCAGAAAAAAAATCACTGCACAGCAGTGAAATCGTGAAAATTTCGTTCAAATGTCGAAGGAGTTTTAACTCTGACACGGCCCCTTCAACGTGGATATCCGACGAGTGGAGAGATTTTCCCAAGTTCGAAGTGGACTCTTTCCTCGATGTTTTCGGAATGGAGCGTTAAAAACGAGGTGTTCGCGGGAAGGGGTGGTGCGCAATTGTGATCTGAATAAGAAGGTGGTCATGACTCATGACTGGATCTGGATCAGTTGATTAGGAAGTTCGCGGCAGTGTTTATACTGTACTACACTTTGTGTAGAATACTTGTACGGATATGCATGTTTTCGTCCTTGATTTGAGTGGACCTCCGGAGGTACAAAAACTTGCCGCGCCTTGAAACCCGAGCACTCGCGAGTAAGGTTCAAAAGCCACGTAGTAAAGGAAAAGTTCACTTGTCTCTCCTCGAAGAAAAGTTCACGACGACGCACTTTTTAGCGGCTTGTTGTTTCTAGTAAAGGGGTCTCAAGCACGGCCTAAATTCCGGGCGCCGCAAGAAAGAAGACGCCTCCAACGTCACCAGACGATTAGTGCCGCTCCGTGCGTCTAATCCGGCGTCGCGGGCCACTGGACACGAAAACAGGGGAAACGTGGCTGACATCAGGGCTACTCGCGACGGGGGCAACAATGGATTTCACGTGTTCCCCTCACCCGAACCGCGTCCACCGCGTATTGCGCTATGGAGAGCGCAATACGCGGTGCCGTGAACTTCACGGCGGATGAACTGCGAGTCCATCGGCGCCCCGCGTTCACACGCACCCGGGGGCTGAAGGCGCCGCGGCGGAAACTGCAGAACAATGCCGCGAACTCGAGGCGCCGGCCCGCTTCCACTCATGACCGTACGAATCATGGCGAGTTTCTTTATCTATGCAAACGGTAACCCTGCTCAAGTCCCATTTCCACCACGTCAGAACTCAGGAAAATAAAGCAACCAGTAAAAAACACCTCGTGAGGAAAGCACGCATTCGGAATCTATAGTGGGCCATGTTCGTACGGCAGAGATCCTGAACAAGTGCTCTGGGGCTCCGCGGTTTGTCAAAAAATATTGAAAATTGGATTGATATAGAAAAGACGGAAGCAAAACTATAATCCAGTGACATTCCCGGGTGAAAGGAAATACACCGTATTTTACACGGAGTACTGTATACCGAAAAACTCAAGCTGAGGGAGGATTCCTGGAGCCTTGGCACGGAAATTAATTCTAGAAGGGCTCCTTGAATCAACAAGATCAAAAACTTCAGAAATCCAAATTGATTACCTTTTCTGTCTAATCTTACTGAAGCATGATTACATTTTCTGAAGCTATTCTTCATTTCATAATCGCTGGAAATTTGAGCTTCAATCATGAATCAAATGAGTACACAGCAGCCCAGCATTTTTATTCGATTATTTATCGGCAATTTTTGCGTGAAGTTTTTCTCTCCATGGCGTTTTGCCTGGGAGTTATCATTTCCATACGGTGACTATGGTGCGCAGACCGTTTTCTTTATACAGTACTGTACAGTATAATATGCAGGAACCCTCTAGTTAAGCATCGAAGAACACATACATCCCAAACTGGAGTGAGTACGTATTGCACAGTACGTCACATTCTGGGTCGGAGAAAATGCACATGTCCATCCATCACTGAGCGATGCCCTCAACTTTCACTGCCCGGGCCAAGCTATTTAGAAATGGTCCAACGAAAAGACGGATGGCAGTGCAGCTACTAGAACAAGCTCCAATAATCTACTGCACAGTATTTCCGTACCTAAATCCTCGAAATTATACTCAGACAAAGACGTACTCTACAGCGCAGAAATGAACAAGACAATTTTGTATATTCGAAACCTGGTTTGCTCGTTAAGTACAGTATACCTTTTTTGAACGAATCTGTCGGAAGATAATATTTTTGAAATCATTTAGTGCAGATACTGAGCGCAGAATTGCATCTGCACGGGCACTTCTCAATCTGCTGAAAATTTCTGACGCATTTCTGGTGATTGCAGTTGAATAATCGAATTACTGACAACTGACAGGTACAGTAAAACAAAAGTAAATTTAGTTATACGTGGCTTGAACAACGAAGTATGCGTGGTAAATTGGTCAAGAATTTACCAGACAACCCCAGGGAAAAAGACTTGGTGAGTACAGCAGAACGTCGATCATCTATCATTCAATTTTACTTAAAATCAGTAAATTGTACCTCTAATCTAATGAACACCCAACGCGTCAAAAGCCGGCGTATTTATGGCAACTAAATTTTTCAAAATTCAAATCTAGCAAATTTTCATTTTTATTTTGTTCCTTTAGTTTCAATGTTATGTTTCTCATCATGTCAATCTTTATTTATCACGTTTAAATTGATTTAATCAGGTCAATACAGACTATTTTTCATTGTCGATCATCTTTTTTTTTCAGTACACCGGAAAAAGTCAAGTTATTAGCCCTAATTATCAGGGGGTCACTTAGGATGTGATAATTTGTATTGAAAACTCGGTATTAACTACGCTTTTGTAAAATGTCACGTTTATAATCGCAATCTATTTTCTGTTCTAATTTTTTCCTTTAGTCTCTCCATTTACTCTGAAGAGAGCATACTGACTTCGTAGAACACCCAATGGAACGCATCTTGACGTGTTTGATGCGGCATTGTCAACTCACTGTGGATGATGAAGCGAGGTTTGGTCAATTTTTTCCGGTATGGATTTTAGGCCAACAATTTTACCGCAACCTGATACCGAGAGGAGAGAGGTGGGAGAAAATGAAAAGAACCGGCAACTGCTGCCTAGACCTTAGAGAATCTGGTCAAACTCGGAAGTCTCCGAACAAAAAGTAAAGAAAAAAATCGTGCGGCGGGGCTGACGCCGCAGCGCAGGGGAAACGGGCATGGCGGAGAGACGCAGGGCTCAAACACGCTTCATTTTTATTTTATTTTTTATTATAGACACCGAGATGCGTTCCTTGGGTTCATATTATGCCCATCGGGCACCACGATGGGCATAGTATGAACCCACGTTGCGGGTGATTAGCATTCCTCGTTCCCAAGCCGCACCTGCTGTCGGCACTCCCTCGCTGACCGCCGCTCACTTCCGTCTTGGGGAGATAACTATCAATGCGCTGCTCAGGAAGAGGCCGAATTGTCGGGTCACATCTGCTCGTCAATGTTCTCCCGCCCAATAAAAATCATCTCGTCGTGTAAAACAAGAAGAAAGTAACGGGCAGTCGTAGTCCTTAGCATGTTACACTCCATTCCCAGCATTCGTTTCCATTGATCCACTAAACTTGAGTCACGTAACTTAAAGTTTTGTTTCCTTTCCCGTTTTTTATTGACATGTCTAAAATATATTGACCGATTATTACTGAAAGTGAATGACGTAAACTCAAATGCCTGAAGCGTTTTAACTTTTATAGTTCACCTTCAAGAACAGGATCTTCCACTTCCGGCATCATATACGTAAGTAATGTACCCTTTTTATTGGAATTTTCTTGGGTCATTTCTTTGGCGGACAAATTTGAGTTGATCGCAATTCAGAGAAGAGCATGAGTGATAACGGGAAGGGAAAAAACGCTTAAAGATACATATTTTGGTTTTCTGCAACGAGGAACTTTCAACGCTCGCAGGGGACGGCATGCAATAACAAGGCTTACCAAAAAACGCCAGGACCCTGAAAGCAGTTTCTAAAATTTCTCCACCTAAGAAAAATGCAACATATATGCATCCTGCGTAATCTGGTTGCGTTATTATTACAATATATTTCTTTTGATGTGCCTTCGACGATCCGTCGAAGACAATGTAAACTAGAACGATCAAGATTTTTTGGACTAAGTGACCGGATGGCTTCTTCCAAGCAATCAAGAATCAGTGACGATCAAAAAATGCATTCAAAAATCTTAACCCAGCCTTCAGAATGTGTTTTTTTTCGAACGGCTTGATTTTCAAATCTCACGCGGAGTCTAGAAAAAAGAGCTATTATAATATCTCAAGAACGCTCTTGATACTGAAAATTAAAAGATTGGAATTGCTGTGTTTTTTATTTGTTGAAATACTGTTTAGAAAACATCTAAAAAAATTGAGTAAAAAAAAAACACGCAAAATATTTACGAGTTGCCGTCGACCCCAACATATGCGTGACAAAATGAAGCCTCACGTTTCAGAATCACATACAGAGCTCAAGAAAACTTTCTTTATTTCATCATGGGTTAGGTAGCATCAACCCTCTTACAAACGCTAGTACAGTACTGTACTTTTTTGTTGCGCCAATTCGAAAATGGTCAAGAATATCTGGAAAAATAAAAAAAGGAAAATTAAAGCGGAAGCCCTAGAAGCCAATTTATGAATAAAACTCAGCATGCAAAGCTGACACCGCAGAATGCGCCACTTCGGCGCAAAATGGTTGAACCTTCAGGAGGTGTCATCCATGAATAGGGTTTGCTTGCCCACACTGCGAAGTAGGTTGCAGCGACACCTAGAATCAGTACCTATAAACATCGTTAACATTAGGCAGGTTTACTGTTCTGCAAGTACTCCAGTGGTCGCTGCGGAGGTATTTATGCAGTACTGCAACCAAGGACTGAATGTGCTATTATGCATGTAATTTCTACCCACACCACCGAGCACAATAACGAACACGAACGAGGTTGACACGACTATCTCAAAGTGTAATGATGCATTGGTAGAGTTGAAAAAAAAACTGAATACCTCATGGCGTTCAGCACGAAGTCGGCTATGGAAAAACGCATGCCCCATTCGTTTGAAAGGGTTTTCAAGAAATCATGAAATCTTCGCATACGAGCGTGGAAGACGCATTGCATGCGCTACTTAATGGAATTAAGGGCTGGCTCAACAGGTTTCGATTCCAAATGAGATGCAACTGTGATCACATCACAACGTCCTCCACATTTTTTCTTTTCTATTCCGCGTCGATGTAACGCGAATGGAAAACGGGAATGATGCCAATGCATCACGCACTAATGAGCGGATGAAACATGTTTCGCTTCGGACGAAAAATGAAAAGAAACTTGAAAAGGTCTACTCACTCGGATGCAGTCAAGCTATTGGAATTAAGCTTGTGGAATACATTATTGGAACGTCGATGACGTTGACGATGTTCCAGGTTGGTCTCCCCGGTGTCGTCAACGTGATCAGCGGGTTTGCTGTCCAAAGGGCACGTGTCGTCGTAGATTAATGTCTCCACCATGCTGCCTTTCGAGCTGCCGAATGACACTCTGGAAACAAACCAGTAGCGGAAACCTTGCTATTCATTTGCGGCATGCGTAACACGTGTGTCAAGTAAAATGAATGACTCGTCGTGAAAGAACCCAACACATTCCTTCTCACAAGATTTTTAGTCTGAAAGCGTCACAGGAAACAAAAACTTTTCTTCTTGCTGAATAGGCAAAAAAAGGAAAACTTTTTCAAACATAGGGTGCGCAATTTTAAAAATTGCATTAAAAATATCCAGGCGTGTCTTGAACTTGATGGTATCTTCAATCTATTTTAAAAATGATAGTTCAAAAGTGGTCCAAAAAATTCATCCATCCATAACTTGCTGTAAAAGCACGAGAAACGCACAAAGCTTGAAACTCAAAGTGTGAATTTGAGAAATCATGCGGCGTCCTCTCCGTTCGGGCGAAACGGCGGAGGAGGAATTACAGTAGTTTACTGCATTGAACTCCTCAAATATTAAATTAATTGCCTGATAATCGGCAGTTATCCAGCGCGATGACTTCTGTTCGAGGATACATATTAGTTTTCCAATAAAAAAGAGAGGACTTCTTAGGCCATCGCGTGCTTAAGCATTTCTGGCATACTAGGTACACTATTTTGCAGCAAGTAGTACGAAGTACGTGATTCGTCAATAAACGCTTCCTGCATTATGGAGAAGCGGGTACTTTGAGAGCTGCGTCTTAAAACTGCGGGCGTCTTCCTTTCGCGTAAATATGGTACCTCATAGAGGGAATAACAGCTGAATCTTTCGAATCACGCCACGCAAACATTCCACGAGAAAAATACTGCGTCAGGCTTTGCTCAAACGGATTCAGAAGTATCAAACCATGTTTTTGCCGTGTGTTTCCGCTGAGACTCACCAACGTGTTTCCGCAGAGAACAACGTCACTGCCCTTCTACGCACGTGGCAAATTTGCCCCTCTTGTACTTTCGTCTCGTAATGGAACTGATTTATTCTGCGACGAATTGGATTACTAGAAGGCATGTATAGCATTCCTCACGAGCGGGTAAAAGGTAAAGAAAAAACATTCAGAAAATAATTTTCGCCAGTAAAATTTCCGGCAATATCAGGGATAGGAAATGCTGCGGCATTGCTAACGAGGAAATTCTACAGGATGAAGAACGGGGCAGTACTTTTTTTTGGCTCAAAAGCATGGTCATGACCGCAAAATATCTTCCAATACAGTTATCGGCCGCAGGTACACGGCATTAGATCTTTTCACAAGCCATGCAAAATAAATTATCTAAAAGCTGAATTAAATTTAAAACATGAATCTGGCGCTGAAGATTGCATGCGCTTTCATCGCATCGTCCTGTGCGTGTAGAAGACAACGATGGACAAGATTACTTTTCATGGCCTGACCGATCCAAAAATATTCCGAACTTCTCCTCAATATGCTAGCGAAAAGAAAACCCGTCCGACATCGAATGGGACGGGAAAATCGCCTTCGGATAGGATGCTTTTCTGTGCAGGGATTTCATTCCATCTTTTCTCCCCGCTGAGATACTATCCGTTTTGAGCAGCATACAGGAAATTACTCGAGGTTTATCGATAAAGCTGGTGGTAAGCAGATTCGATGGCTGATGTTACAGCGAGTACCAAAAGCATTCGAAAAGATTAACCAGTAGCCAAGTACTGCGATCAGTACCTTTCAGAAAGTGCGTGATTCCGAAACACGCAATAACCACGCTATTTCCGCGCTACTGATAGGCGCGTAAAATACTGAAGGTAGCTTAACGTTTTCAACAGGATTTTAGCAGTGTGCAATTACACAGGCTAGGTCTTTCGGCCCGTAGCGAAACTAGATCGCGGAAAACGTGCTTCTCTGCAACGATTTCAATTTCGGGAGCATCGCCGCAGGCAAGTGTAAACTTCGATACGACTCAACCTCCATCTCTTTGATGCATGCTCTATTTCAAAGAAAATCCCGCATTAATTGTTTCAATTCGCTGGTGCATCCCTCCGACGCCACCGTGGCCAGTTTGCGGTATTCTTCGGGACGCGTCTGAGATATACACATTATCCCGTCTTCAGATTGTTTATTTTAGGGTAGTGGGGCAACAAATGCCGCAAATATCGATTTGGAGGGAAATATGGTCAGTAAAATACAAAATCTGCTCATTTCATGAAGTAATAAGCTTTATTTTTCAGGGTGTTATGTAATCTCATTCATAGACCGCGCGTATGATGCTGTCGTGATGCTCATTCTGTGCTTGAATTTCTGGAATAAACTTGCTGAGCAGAGGCTCGGGTGCACCCTATGGGATGGATTTAACATCCCCCGCCCCTTGAATTATATAACAAGTACAGTACAGTATTTTCCAGAAAGGGGTACTGCTTGCGTCCTGGCAACCAAGTTTAACCGACAGCTGAATTTTATACGAACAACTTCTTAGTTAGTACTCTTAGTAGCTTCTCTACATTCATAACCCAGTCAAAATCCCTTGATTTATGTTTTTGTTGCTGCAGTAGCATTCACATCTTCATTCATTCTTATGACCGCATTTCAACTCCGTTGAGGGCAATTATCTGTTCTGGGAAGTTCTCAGATACCTTCTGTCAAAGTACGAGTAAATGAAAAGCCCTGGCCTGCACCTTTGGAGTGCATTCGGAGTAATTTTAGGGGAAACGTGCGTCATGTAAATGAGTGAATTAGGGTACAGATATACCAAATGTATTGTTTCGGGTAAATTCACAAATGGTGTTATTCCATCGATTTGAAAATAGAGCGAAATAAATATGAAAGCCGGCGCCTTTCGAGAAGACAATGTGCAGAGATATACTTTCAGCCCGAAAATGCGGTCATAGAACACAGGCACGGTAGCAACACCACCCTCGCTTTTTTTGAATCGGTGCGTAGTACCGCACTCGTGTGTACTGGAAACCAGTCCCGGCTATACAGCGATTTCGAAGTCACCTGAGGTCGGAATACGGCGAAGGCATGCCAAGTGGCATATTCCGTGTCGGAAGTAATACGCAGTCGTCGGTTCAGAGGGAATAGAAACGAGCACTGGGGTAGCCGAAACGGTAACAAAAAAGAATGAAGGGAAACTGCGGTCGGGCAGCAGCGTCGGTGAACGCAGAGAACGACGGCGTTTGCGTCAGGAATTCCGTTGACCTTGACATTGACTGAAGGACAGAGGCTGTTCGTAACGCCGACCCCGTGATCCAGTAAGAGACTAGGCCACGTGGACAGTCTATCGATCTGTATACTTTACGGACCCGCGAGAGAACCAAGTTTTATACTTCACCCAGATACCCACTTTTACAGTTGCAAGAACCCATTGATCATGTTGTAAAAAATAATAACATTAAGAACATATTTTTGCCGAGACTTTTACGCCTCTTTTGCAACCGGGGCATCACGTGATCTTCGCCACTCAAGCTTGCTTTCCAGATGCTTAAATCCTGCAAATAGTAGGTCTACTCTGTTTTGCAGAGTCGGCATGAAAGTTGACGCTTGAAAGAAATTCCAAACCTACGGATCGATATGAGACCCAGCATCTACTCAAGACACCCTCCACGGCTTTTTGAAAAACACAGAAGCATTATATCATTGTTGGTGGAATCAAAAATTATTATTTTGAACAGCAATTACGAACATTGAGTGGTGAAAACGTCAAGTAATGACGAATTTTTATTACAGTATACACTAGACAGGACGGAGTATCATCGCTAGAAATCGAATAATGCTGAAAGTGAAAATTGTGTTGCATTCCTGAAATAAAGGACGAATATGATGACAAAAAGTATTTCCAGCCATGTTCAAAAAAGCACTGATTCACAGAAAAGCGTGTCTTCTAATGAAGCTTTTTGTGAGTTAATTATTTCGAAATCAAGTTTTGTTTCATTTCTTTGGATGCCGTAAACTTTTTTTTTACATTATGAGCAAAACATTGGAGCTATTCCAAGTAAACAGTTCTTGCACTATCAAGGTGCCTAGAAATTATGAATTGAAAAATCAGGACTAAACTTTTGATTGCTTTCACGTTCAAGCTTTTTATTTAAGATTGCTAAAGAAAAATAGAATGCGAGGGACATTTTGAATAGAAAAGTTACACATGCCTGATTTTCAAGCACGATAAAACGCAGTATCAGTACCGCGGAATTGCAGGTAACTGCGTGTTTCTCGCGTGTAAAAGAACAATATCGGAAGTGAAGGAGCATTGCCTCATAAACCTTCCATTCGCTTTGGCGGAAACGACCTATAGGGCTATGGTATACTGCAGCAATCGCAGCGAACTTCACGACGCAAAACACGAGCTGTAACACGGGACACGGTCGACTTACAACCATGTCGAATCAGTCCTCTTTCTCCAAGTTACGATCAGTACTTACGGTAATAAATAGTCTCGCCTCATCAACAATAAAAACATGCATCGTTGAAGTGTGATGAGCATGCAACCGTATCGCAGAAAAATACTGTACCATTTGATGCACAAAGGCGCTTCGCATAGCGACGGTTTTTAGAACTGATGGCCCAAAATGTTCCCAGAACGAAAGCACGGCCATTTCCTTTTACCTTCCAAGGGATGCAAACAAAACACGATTCTTTGAACATTAAGATGCAAAATTAACTCACCAAACAGCGGAAACTTCGCGATACGAGCGGATAGCTGGATGCCTTTGAACGAATACTGTAATCGAATAGCACAGTCCCAAAATGTGAAAAATCTCTCTTCAATAAGCACGAAAAAACTCAACGATGGCTTGAGCACATGACACAATATTACTGACACTGTCGAAAATCTTGAGCAGCATACTTTTCAAGATTTGCATAAACCCAGATTTTAGTAATGAAAAAAGAGAAACCGCGCCAATATTATTCAAAACCAGCACTTAGCAAAAGGAAAAATGAAACTGGGAGACAACTCACAGCAACCTGCAATGATAAGCTGAAATGCATTGCGCAACAGTGTATCTTATCGACACAGATCACGGACGATCCGCGTCGCTTTCCCAAAAATATCCGAAGCGATAGAAGCAAAAAATTCGCTC